GGTTAAGGAGCAGGGTAAGGGAGCAGGGAGCATGGTTAAGGAGCAGGTTAAAAGAGCAGGGAGCATAGTTAAGGAGCAGGGCTAAGGAGCAGGAGCAGGGTTAGGGAGCAAAGTTAAGGAGCAGGAACTATGTGGGCCGGGTAAAGGAGCAGGGTAAGGGAGCAGGGAGCATGGTTAAGGAGTAGGGTTAAGGAGTAGGGTAAGGGAGCACAGTGAATGTTTGATGGAGCAGACATGCTGACCCCTTCTGTAGGTATGAACTGCTGTAAGCACTGAATTACTGGCCGCGTCTTCTTTCTCCTCAGAGGGAATCATGGCGGTTCAGGTTTCCGAGTCCGACCAGATCAAACAGGTAGGTGGCCTCATCTTAACTTCAACCAGTAGGCTCGGATAAGAAAACTAGATATAGTCAGCCCAGCTGTCTTTGCCAGCTTATGAAACATAGCCGATGAGGGCAGTTCCAGCCACTGGCTGGAATCCTCTGGGAATGTGCCGACTCAGGGCTCCTCCGTGGACCTTCTCTTTCTGATCTGAAAATGTTTGTGGGTAGCATGGCATCCCTGCTTCACACTGGTCAGACAGGATACTGAAAGCTGGTGCCCAGTACCTGGTAACTCATCGTAGGGGATCCCATACAGGAGGCAGAAACACCTCAGGGGTTACTGGGAGAATGGTTAATGGGGCAACCAGGCCCCACCAAACTCATGAAAACGGCACCAGATCATTCGAGAATAATAGACTCGTCTCATGAGGCCTGTAAGAATATCCCATAAATGCTCCTATACAGAGTGTATCGGTGTGTGAAGTAGCCTGTTGGTCCTGTTGTACAGCTAATCATATAGAAACCTAAAACACATTAGTCGGCTTTTCACAGCAAGTTGTCGATTTGTTTTTGTCAGGGATTTAAAAGATACGAAAATGTTGAGGTGATTGTGTTTCACATGAAATTGATTGGATAGATTCTGCTTTAATTTAAACAATAATTTCCCATTAAGTGTGGCGTGAGGTTTATGCCGTAGAGCTGTAGCTTTAATAAGCACAGTTAAGGGAACCAGCCTTGGTACAAAGACCACGAAGGCCACATGACACACCAGTTTGTCATCAGGAAACCAGAAAATAATGACAGTTTAAATGAGTATCCCTCCATCATACTGAATTTTTACCTTGAATTTCTTCGATTGCTTTTGTTGTATGTTGTAGAAACGTTGCTGATCATTGCAAGTTGAGAAAAACCACAGTTCTCTCTAACAGGTGGATATTTTTCTGTGTTCTGTCAGTTTAAGGAGTTTCTGGGAACATACAACAAGGTCACAGAGAACTGTTTCATGGACTGCGTCAAAGATTTCACCACAAGAGACGTGAAGCCCGAGGAGGTAAGGAGAACATGACTGAGACCCTAAACACACCTTATGGAAAGATGTTCAATTTTTTTTAAATTTAAAAATACCAAACATTATTTGATTTAACAGCTGAATATTCTAAATTTATAAAACACCCCATACCCCATTGTATAATTCAACTCTAAAACTAACTATGAGGCCTCCATAATGTTTGAAAGAAAGTCCCATCTTTCTTTGAGTTCCCCAATATTCCCTGACTACACAACTCGGGTGACTTTTAGGTGCTGTTTGCAGACCTGAGCCGAATTTCATACATTTCCGTCCAACTAAAAGTTAATTGTGAATAAATCTGCTTTCATGTGTGCCTGTTGGAACTGTGACACTGAGGGAAGGGATGAATCATCCAGAACCTACCCAGCACGACCCGGCTCTACGTGGTATTCTTGTAGTTCCATTAGTGGCAGGCCCCCCTAAACACTAACAGTTTCTGTTGGGCCTGTTAGGACCTGATTCACAATGGAAACCCACCTAAACCAAGTCATGCCAAGGGGTGTAAACCTGTATAAGGCTGAGTGGGTACTAATGGAAAAGCCCCATAACAACCCTGAGCTCAGAAACTGAAGAAAAGCTCCGAGCTGCAGAGGTGATTGGTCAGCCAGATAAAACAGATGAAGATAGGTTTATGAGGAAGGTTCGGTCTTGGGCTTTAGAGACTAGAAGTGGTCAGAAATTAAAAGCTTAAACTAGGGACTGATAGATTTCTTTTCCCATGATTGATTAGTTTTTCCTCGATGCATCAGGCAGTTTGTTCATCATTTTCAACCCCATGAATTTTCCACAATGAAAGATGTCTGGGTCTTATCTGTGTTTTGTATATCTTCTTCAAAAAGTAATGAATGAATTCAAGTTTTGTGCACTTGAATTTTTTGCTGTCCCTTCATAGCAAAACAGTTCCTGGTTTGAATCCTGGCAGGGCTTCTGGTTAAGTTTAAATGGAGACTCTAGATTGTCCATAGGGGTGAGTGTGAGCACTCTGTCTCTATTGGCGGCTTCCATTGGGGCCTACTTGGCTCTACACGGTTTAAGTGGTTTTCCAATACGAATTGTGGCCGAGCAAAAAAACATTCTTGTTGCAGAATTTTATAGCTGTAGCTGTTATATGTTGTGTAGAGCCATGCCGTGCCGAGTAGGCACTAGTGGTAAAGCGCTACAGGTGATGGACTATGACCCATCGAGGGTGTACCACACCCTCTCGACAGGTGATGGTTGTGAAAGGCGGGGTACAGACAGTGGATCGATGGTACATCCTCGAAGCAGACAGAGGTTCGAAGAACTTTCACTGACCTCAGAGGTCAAGCGGCTCATAAAATGAGTAATTGTTGGTTGAGCGACTCCCCAGAGAGACAGCGTTTTTACCGGTGTTGATGCTTCTCTGGTTCCAGTCCAGCTGCTCCGAGTCCTGCCTGCAGAAGTACCTGAAGATGACTCAGCGGATCTCCATGCGTTTCCAGGAATATCACATTCAGCAGAACGAGGCTCTTGCCGCCAAAGCTGGACTTCTGGGACAGCCTCGTTGAGTTGGTCTTAAGAAACCCAACAAAGTGAGCAGAACCACATGGGCCCTGGTCCAGCAGATGCTTGATCAGCAGAAGAAGGACCAAAGCAGGAGCTGATCATGGTGTGTTTTGATTTCAAACTGAGCCAAGGCCACAGAAAGAGGTAGCCCTCTTGTATGAAGGCCCCTTTTTCTTGGACAGAACAGAGATCCTAGCATCTGATTAGCAGTTCACTGTCGGATTATAATGAGAAACCTAGATGGTTTTATCTTTGTATTTCTTGTTCAGTTACTGTGTACCAGCATTGAAGTTGGTGAGGAATTCCTTTTATCTTTGAGAAAACGTTGGATCTGGTATTTTATCTGTGAAAATAATAAAAACATCTGACAAACATGAATATTCTGAAATGTTGACTTTCTGTAACAAGGTCCTCATAGGCTGTCTACAAAACAGCCTATGGTTTCAGGAAGAAGCATATCAGGTGGAGATCCAGATACCTGCACAGCCTAGGTATGTAAGTGTCCTCTGGTTGTTTACCAGGGGGTGAACTGGAATCTGCAGGCCAGTTAGGTGGGATACTGGCAGGTGCAAGTACAGTAAATACAGCTGGAGCTTATCCCAGCTGACATTGGGCTGCTATGGGCTCAAGACCCACACATTCACTTCAACTCTGAGACGCCAATCATCATAACACGCATGTTTTTAGACAGTATATCAATAATGATTTAGTTTTCAGTGGAGGCTCTGTTTGGTTTGGATAAATCCATGTTGGGTATCTGTGGACCTACACTCACTAGCCACTTTATTAGGCACACCTCGGTTGTAACGAGTGCTTATTTGGGTTACTGTTGCCTTTTATATCAGCTCTAACGGGTCTGGCCATTCTCCACTGACCTCTGGCATTAACAAGGCCTTTGGGCCCACAGAACTGCTCTTGATATTTTCTCTTTTTCGGACCATTCTCTGTAAACCCTAGAGATGGTTGTGCGTGAAAATCCCAGTAGTAGAAATACTCAGAATAGGCCTTCTGGCACGTTCAAAGTAACTTAAATCAACTTTCTTCTCATTGTTGATCCTCGCTTTGAACTGCCTCAGATGTCATGTCTACATGCCTAAATGCATTGGTCTGCTGCCACGTGATTGGCTGGTTAGACATCTGCCTTAATGAGCAGTTGAACAGGTGTACCTAATAAAGTGGCCCCTGAGTGTATACCTTAACCCTTGTGTCATTTAAATGCCACCTAAATATATCCTCTATGATGAATAACTCAAAGGTTAGGCTGTTTTGGGGAAATGTAGGGGAAAAAAACTGCATATTTTTCCACATGTTTATATACACAACATAAACACAGTGATACATAATTTCCCCTCATTTCCAGAAGTGGTCTGTTTGATAATAAAAAAATCCACACATGAAAAACATTGCCACCAATGACAATGTGGTTGTTCACGTAGCTGCTCACAAAAAATGTCCCCGTGCCCCGTGTGTAACTTAAAATAGCAAAAAATAATGTTTAAGCAGAACAGAAATGTCTTTAAAGGGTTGTGTGACTGCTCGTGTGCTAGAATCGGCTCCTCCCTTGCCGTCGTTCATCACTACCGCTCGTCTGCGACGCAGGCTCAAGACAACCAGAAAACAAGTTTCTAACCCGGGTGTCTTCCTCTAAAGTCGTTCGGCGGGCGCCGACTGGCCTTTTAGCGATAACAAATTCCGGTGGAACAACTGAAAACATCCACAACATTTTTACAACGTTTACTTGAGTTGTCAGTATGCCGGTTCGACATGGACTTTTTGTAAGAGGTTCTGTTAGCCCTCGCGCACGTAACGGGGCTGGGCTTCTAACGGTGTTGGTAAAAACAAGGAAGCTCGCCGAACCAATAGCGATACGCAGCCGGTGGAACGAAACGTAAATGGCCAATTGAGGTCTTCTATGGTAGTTTCTTTCAACTCGCCTTTTACTGGACAACAAGCCCAACATCTACCGTCATTTCCCTCGTGGCGCCGCGTTCGTAACGACCAATAGCGATTTCGCATGAGGTACATCCTATGGAAATCAGGGAGATGCTCCACCAATCGGATGCCTCTACTGTGACTACCGCTGTCACCGCAACCAATCACCTGTCAGGAAACCCACCTCGGGGCTCAACAGCTTGTTGTTCGTGTATCTCTTTGCAGCCCGAGCAAGAGAGGAAGCCGTCGCGGTCGCGAATGTAAGTATAAACCTCCTTATTCTGCCCCAAACAATACTTTACGCTGACTACTTACAATAATCGGACGGCCGGCGACAGAGAAGCGGGTGGATGTCAGTTGGAGAGGCTAGCCGGATTCTGTTGAAAGGGACTGACTGTGTCAATGGCAGTGAAGAAATGTGAAGCTCTGGAGCCTTTGTGGAAGAACCGCTTATTAAATAAATAACTTCCCTTGATTCGTCCAATGTCACGGATTCGAAGATTGGGGAGATTGTCGTTTTGTTTATATGCAGCACTGAACTAGAGCTCGCGAGGTCTCACGTTGATGCTACGTTGCTGCTGCCAGACAGTTAAAATCACCGTGTGACCACAAACTAGCTAGTTGCGTCGGTTGTTAGCTTAACGGCTAAACGCCGCTTTGGACGGGAGAGGGGGGGCGAAACCCCAATTCGGCTCGCTGTCTGTCGGACACTGTTTGGGTCGGGACTCGGTTTTGTTCCGGCGACCCTCCTTCTAGCTGCACGTCGCGGTTTTTAATGTGAGCGGACATGGTGGAAGTTAGCTCAGCTAACTGCCATGGCGAGCTGTGTGATGGCGACGTGACTCAGTTGCTCTGGGAGCGGAGCGGGAAGTAGAAGAGCTCCTTCTCCGGCCCCCCCCTCACACACACACCGACGGAGCGGCCATGGGGAGCTGGAATTGGGACTTCTCGTTCATGTGGAAGTAAAACGTCGCTAGCCAAGTTTGTGGGAGCTGTAAGAAATCTGCTCCGAACCGGGGAGGGGAGGAGGGGGGGGCAGCTCTGCTCTGAGCTAGTAAAGAATGTCTAAGCTAACTGAAGTGCGTGGCTAGTTAGTTAGCTAGCTTGACAAGAGTTACAACCTCGAGACTCTTACCCTGCTCGTTCTGTCCTCTTTGTAGCTGCTAGCTTTATTAATGCCATCTTTCTCTCTCATTTTGTCTTTCAGAGATCCCAAGTATTTCGAGCTGGACTCCTTTAAATAGCAGGAGAGATGAAGGTGAGTGCTCTGCTACAGACATCCAGAACTCTCACTCTTCCCTTCCTCTGTCCTAAAGTACAATGAGGAATTTTTATTTTCGAGATCTCCCTTCTGGTCACCCAGACATGGCCCTGAGCATCTGATGACAGTTTTCAAATTACCCTCAGCCGCACCACGAGTCTACATGTCAGGTTTTTTATTCTGGTGTTACAGTGGTAGGCCACGGCTCGCATCTGTGAGCCCAGCTCCATCACAGAGGTCCCTCTCTGGTCAGCCAGTAACAAACCTGTCAGTATTTTCCCTCACCCTTATTTTAATCTAGTCATATTGCCTTGCAATACAATGTGTAGTTTCAAGTAAGCAATCATTAAAATAATAAGCATACAAAAATCTTTTTATTCTAAGAATTCAGCCACAAATCCCAGGGGGTTATCTTTTATTTGCCTCTGTAGACCAGAGGAATAAAGGCCTCTTCGACAGGTAAATCTTACTAAAGAAGTAACATTTGTCCCTCATTCTGTCTTGATTCGCACACAAGCAGCATCTGTTTGCAGACATGTATGTATGAGCTAATCGTAACACCTAGTGATCACATTATCTTCCAATAGTTTTTACATACGAACCTGGGCAATTTACAGGTGACTACACTGGACTTTATTTGTTGCTGCTTTTACAAGCAGATAGTATTTAATCTAAGTTATTCTGCAAAGGGTCACAATTGTAGTTGGAAATGTTCAAGAATGATTTTGAGGCAAGTATAGTTCCCTCCCCAAACAGCAACGTGTGGTGCAGCGTGCTGTTGTGAGGACCTACTTACACTGATCCTCCTCTTGCTGATTTTGAACCTTAACTCTGTGACCAGGAGACGGTGTGAACTATTTGATCTAAACATAATCTGTCTTTGTGTTTACGGGTTTCATGGTTGGTTGCTTTCCACCGGAGGTGAAATCTCACGGCCAGCAATGTGACGGTGGGTTAGGGGAACAGGATGTGATGAAACAGTTATAGAGCTTCTCGTTTTGATTATCAGTGCTGCGTGCATATCTGTACCTGCAGAGGAAAGTATTAGGTCAGAACCTAAGAGAATGAAGCAACGAATATGTGATAATGCTTTGCACTTTTTCACCTACCTAAGGTCCAGAAACCTCTCACAGGTTGGATTGACACTGTACAGAATAAGTTTAGAGAAAATTATGCAGACTTTGCATTGACACACACTTCAGCAGTGAAAGAGAACAGTCTATTTCAGCTTTTTACTCTTAGTCTGCAGAAACTCTTGGCACATTTCCAGCTAAATGTGGACCTGGTACTGGATCGAACACAGCCGAATGAAGTTATGGACCAAAATGTGGCTGACACTTCAATGCTAAAAAAAAACTTGTCAGTTTCTGCTGTTACATTTAAGTATAGCTGGGGTCAATGCATAGACCTCTGTCCTTAACTAGCTCATAATTGATAACAAACAATAGCACTTATAATATGTGTTCTATATACACATTTGAGAGAATAGATTTTTTTTTAGATGCCCACCAACGTAGGAGCAGATGGATATGTCCTTTCTATGCAAATGGATAGGAAGGATATTCTCACTACAATCCACAACAAATACTCTCAACAACATTCTTCAGCATTTTCTCAAGCTGGCTAAGTTAAACCCAAGAATTGTGACGATGTAACTTCACATGTTGGAACTGCCCTGACCTTCCTGTTGGAAGGTTTTCAACATGAACATGGCATTAACAAACCCAACTTTTATTTATATATTCAACCTCATCATCATCCGTTCTGGATTTCCTGCCCCAGAATTCCAATCAAGAATGGCATTCACAGAACATTCCCAATTTAATCTGACTGACATTTTTATGGTGGTCTGGGGAATTTTTAAGTTGTTATTCATGTGTAATTCTCACACCTCTAATACATATATAGGTAGATGCACATGTTTAATAATAAAGTTCATATTCACTCTTATTTGTGGGTTAGGCCCTCTTATATAGCTTGAGGGCCTGGGAGATTCAGGAGGCTTCGACAATGTATAGCCCTATATATGTAGAATACAGATGAACAGCTAAAGGTCATTGAAGCTGGAATGAGGAAAAACGATTTGGCACCTGCACTCTCCCATCAGGAAACACTACTGAGCTTTAGCAGCTTGATTTGATGGAGTGTTTAATCCGTGCACATCCACCTCCCAGTACAACCCTTAAAATCTGGGTGTTGTCTGTACACCACCCGACGATCTTTTTTCTTTTCTTTTTTTCCAATACCCATTTGGGATGTCACAGTGTTTAGTTAAACCAAACCTATCTTCAGTATTTGTCATGGTTTGTTTTGTTCCGTTTCTGTGTCTCAGGCAGCAGACGAGCCTGCCTACCTGACAGTGGGGACGGATGTCAGTGCCAAGTATCGAGGAGCCTTCTGTGAAGCCAAGATCAAGACTGTTAAACGCATGGTGAAGGTCAAGGTAAGGCCTGGAGGAAGTGGATGTGGACTGGTGACAAATCCGTCATATGTTCTACCGTTTGCCGACCATAGATCTCTGAGACCTAAAATGCTAGCTTAGTCAGCTTCAATTAACTGATGCTAGCCTACAAAGGGTACAGCTCCTATATACCTGAATACTCTGGCAAAGGCTTTCATCACAACTCGGTCACTCGGGTCATCAATAGATTGTCTTCCAGCAGTGTGTCTACATCACGCTTAAGACGATCCTGACCTTTTTTCATGTGTCGTTCCGCGATTGTGGAATGACCTACAGAGCACTACAAGAACAGGGTCTACCCTGTCTATCTTCAAGAAACCCTAGAAGAGCCTTTAGAGGGCACCTACTACCCTAACACTTACCTTGCCCCCCCCCAATCCCCTCCACTTCTCTTTTTGTACTTCCCTCCATCTCTAGACTGTCACCACTGGTGCTTCTAACACCAGTCTGACTAGTGTTTTCCTTCTATGTAGCTTGCTGGTAGGTTTATGTTAACTGTCTTATCGTATCTGAATAGTTAGTTGCTTTGGATAAAACAATCTGCTTAAATGCATAAATATAAACAGACTTAGTTTCACAAACTCGGCTGACTTTTTTTTATTATTTACATTTTTATTTTTTTGCATATCTGTGTTTTTTGTCCGTGTTTCTTCTCGTTCATAGATGTAAATATTGTGGGAATGTATACTTTTTCAAAGAAAGTCACAAACCCTACAGCTGACTTTTTCAGTGCAATTTGAATGTGTTATCAGCATTATCTGCTGTGTCACACGGCTTTTCTGGAGCCGGTTGTTTTTTATCGGCTCCAACTCTGCTCTTTAGCAGTGACCGTTGCTAGGGTGCAAAGGCTGATTTAATTTTTTTTTTTTTTTAAGAAGATGCTCAGTAGATGCAACTCGAAAGGAGGCAGCTTCCTCTGTTTTTCAAATAATTAAACAGTTTTTAGTTAGTCATGTAAAAATAAAAAATGAATCATCTCTGGCATGCAGCTGTGGACACTCCTCCAGCGGAATGGACGTGGTTGCTTGTGTAACTTTTCTGTGGCATCTGCACCTTGTGAGTGATTACAGACTAGATAAACCTTGAGCAATCTCACAGATTTAAGTTTAAAAGAATTTGATGTTAAATCTTTATAAGGCAGGAAAGAGTATAGATCTTCTCGAAGATGAACATCTGAGGCAGCCTTTTAGAACATGAACACGGGAGTTGCTTCAGCAATATTTCTCTCGGGTAGTTGCAGGATAACGTCCCACTGCTGCTCTCATTTAATGCCACTACAATCCTCACATCTTGGTTGAGATGTTATGAGATTACATGGTAACAAATTTGTAACTGAAACTAAAGTCAGTATACGCGATGAAAGAAAATCCCAATTTTCTCAACTACAAATGTAAAAAATGTTTTCTCAATGAGACTGAGATGACAGAGGACACAAACAGACGGCTGAGATAAGTGTAGTATGTTATAGAATGCCAAGTCTAATGGCTATGTGTTCATAGTGGCCTAAGGCTGAGCAATTATTGCTTAGAAAAAAAAACCTGATTGCTCTCGTGTAATCGTTCATGACGAATAGATTTTGTTTTTCTAATCCTGCAAATACCTCCAAATGGCTCTGAAAAACTTGCACTTTTTTTTTATCATCCCACATTGAGAAAAGTAGTCCAAGGAACGGGAGCTTTGAGTCAGGCCTGTGCATCCACAACCCTAAACAACTCACTTCAGCAACACTCGGAAGGGGAATTGGATAGTAAGAAAACAATGGGTGCACCTCCAAGCTACAAACTGATTCAGCTCTGACAGTCATTTGCCAGCTAGGTCAAGGCACTTTCCAGCTTGGTAGCACAAGATTTCACTGCCAGGCTCTGGCGCCGCCTAAACAGGCACCGTATCCTCAGCAATGTACACAACCGCATTTGAAATCGGCCAGCAATGATGGCGACCCGCTGCAGAGGCCATCCCTTAACGTCGGTCGCCTCTCGGCAGGAGGTTTTAGGCTGATGCTGCAAAACCAAACCAGTTCCACAGAACAGGTCGCATAGGAAGGCGAGCTGCGATGCTGTCGCCTCTGAGACGCAGGATGTGCTCGGCTGAGCCCTCTCTGCGTTTCCAAAGCCCACGGAGAGCAGTGGTGAGGCATAGTGAAGGGGAAAGAACCAAAATAATCAAGGAACCCATTCAAATATATCAATCAAATCGATTCATCCTCCAGCTCTGGGATAATCCAGTGACCAGATAACAAATTTGTTCTGAAAAGAGCTGAATTATGACACAATACCTGGTTTACACACAATGTAAGATAAACTTGAGTAACCCCCACATTTGTTTTTTTTTGTCTGTTGGAGAGCTTTGTTTTGAAGGATTTTGACTAATCCTGGGTGTAACGGTCAGTATGACAGTGGACCACAGATGACTGTCTTTCATCACTGTCTTCCTTTGTGGAAGTCCATCAGGTCACGAGGCTGTTTCCTGTCATTCATCTTGCTTTGTGTCTCCAGGTGACTCTGAAAGGTGATAGTACATCCCAAGTGGTGCAGGATGACCAGGTCAAAGGGCCCCTCAGGGTAAGATGTTATTTTTTACTCATTGGTTTTTCATGTAGTTATCTGTTTTAATAAAATCCTGAAATCATTTCTCTGACAGGATTTTAGCATAGAGGCTAAAATGGGGAGGATCCTTTGTATCAAAGGAAGGGATTAACTTTTCAGGGACGTGGATGCAGTAGTCTTATGGCAGTTTAATTTGATAACTAGACAATTTAAATAACTTTAGAAGACATTTTGTTTTTAAACGAAGATGCTAAGACTTCTGTCAGTGCAGTTTTTCCAATGGGAATGATTTGTAAGATGGTTATTGTGTCATGTGATCTTAAACTCACTTGGCTGTGTTTCTCCTGAAGCTTTCAGGCCTCCTCGGATGCCCGTGACCCAATTGACATAGTTTGTTATTTGTATGTAGAGATTGTGCTGAAAAAGCTGATATCTTGACATTTGTGCTAAAGGTGGGCTCAACTGTGGAAGTGAAGACCAACGAGGGCTTGTGTAGTGAGGCCGTCATCGGCAAGCTGACAGATGCCAGCCTCTACACCGTGGGTGAGTCTGCCGCTCAGTTTCCTGATGATAAGAACCCTTCTGTCATCGTGGCCAACAGGTTGTCCCAATGATTTTTCTTTAGTCCAAACAAACGAGCCAAAAAATCTGAATTCATCAACGAGGAGAAATTATAAATTGGTCCATAAAAAAACTCAGTAAGAATTGGGTTGATTTGGATCTGAACACCCAATCAGATTTACAACACGTTGTCCACAGTGTGCTGTTTCTTTGTAAGAAACCTACTCAGTTTAAAGACATGTGGAAATGTAGCCCATTCTTCACAATCTTAGCTTAAAAGAAAAAGCAGAGAAGAACTTCTCATGATACACAGGAGGCATAGACGGTGAGAAAATGGCAAACACACTGTGTGTGCGTATAGATGAAACAACAATCATGAACGTGAAGGAAAAACATTACAAGCCTGGGTTTTGGAAGTTATTCTGCATGGGAATTCTTTACATTGCATCTTTTACTGAGAGGCCCTGGTGAGCGAGACCCACCGGCCAGAGTTTCTAATGTCCTTTAAGCAACAGTTAATACGGCAACCTTAATTAGATTCAGGCTGTGCAAGGCAGACATCTACGTTGGCATGACTCACTACTGTAACACTCAGAGGTCTGGAGGCTCTGTTATGAAATATTGACCAGACTGAACTGCGTGGTCTGACAGAGTGCAGCTCTTCCCTTTTTGGTAGTTCCTTTTTGACGAAAAACATTAAGGCTGTGTGCCTTTCTGACAATTTTTTTAAAGATTTAAAGAGGCTGGATCCATGTAGGACTCCAGGAGGGCAGTGTTCACATGTTCCCTCACCTAGAGGATATTGTGGACCCATACGACATAAGTTACCACTACTCGCCTCAGAAACTCGCTTGACGGCTTCAACAGATACCTTTCAAAGACGACACACTACAGAGATACCAACATACACACCAGCCCTTCAGGTTCCAGTGTGCCTCACCTTTTGTCGGAGCAGGAAGTCCTCTCTGACCACCTCTTACCGAGTGCACGCTGGAGCCGTTTTGGCTGTCAAAGGCACAGCTATTTTGGAACTGATTACTCCGTTTCCATGTACACGTGTATTCAGAGTTATTTTCCACATTTCAAGGAGGAACACTTCACAGCTCCTTGGATCCAAAGATCATTTTCATGAGAGCCTCCAGCAGTAAAGCAAGAATAGGACCGCTATGTCACTTAAATGTGTTGCCATAAATGAAGCAACAGTAAGTGAGCCGATAGAAACGAAGCGAAGAGACAGAAATAACAAAGAACAGCATTTGACAGCCATGAGACCTGATTTTACTGAGTGACACGACAGTATGTCTCACTCGCTGTTGTTAAATTAGATGTACTAACTGTTAACATTTGGCTTTAAACATCGTTGTCTGAATGAATCTGAGGGCCGTATATAAACCATTATCAGAGGCCAGGGGTTGTAACAGAGTAGTTGCAGCTAGATGATTTGTCAACATATGAAATCTCTTCACGTTTCTCTTGTGCAGGTATGTCAGACTGATTGATGGCAAGAGTAAACAGTGTGTCCATCCTTTTTATGGATTAATCTGCTTTAGTTGGAATCAGCTAAGTGGTTATTCCTACAGAACTCCGTCTGGCTCTGTGAAGTCTGTTTGTATGGCCATAAATTACAATGCTGCTTTTATTCTATACTTCTATACCTTCTATAACACCAAAAGATACTCATAGCATCAATACTGTTTTGGGACCACAATGCGAGATGGGACTGTCCCAGAATCTTCTTGTACTGTTGATTAGAGAGTGGGGTAGAGTTGTGTTTTCATCATGGAGGAAGCATTTGTGCCTTAAAACTCCCACAGAGTATCACACAACAATTTCAGCAGAAAGAAAGGTACAAACTCCTCAACTGGCAATCTCTGTTCTGCCTGTCGAGTTTATACCTTTCCTGCTGACGTTGCGCTTTCAAACTCTTGTCGAGATTGAGGAAAGTTTGCCGCCTGGACTTCAATAGAGGTCGGTACCTAAAGCGCAAACACCGACTGGCTGAGATGGAGTGATGATGCTGAGAAATGGTTTCGCTCATTGAGCTTATGATATCATATGATGTCACATCTACTCTTGGCTGTCTGACCAATCCTCAGCCAGTTTCAGTGAAGGACCCAAAGATGATAAAAGCATTCTGTGGAACAGTGCAACCTGGAATGAGCAAGTCCAAATTCTTTTGAGATTCACATAATCCATAATCCTGACAGAATCAGTATAGTCCATTTAGAAAAAAAATGTCACAAATATGCATATTAGCTGTTTAATCTTAAACTGTGTAATCTTATGATGTGTATTATTTCACGCCTGCTGTTACACTCTCTGAAAACAAAAAACGGCTTCCACACAGTTATGAAAACTTTTGGGGGATTTCAGACTTTTGAGTAAAAATCATTCAATGCAATTTGGCTCGGTTGTTTCAGATTTATGCTGACTCAGGAGGTCTAGGAGACACCATGACCTCTGAGGCTGTTACTCTGTAGGCAGTGGCACAACGGGCATCGACACTGAAGTGGAAAGGCAGCCAAATGTCCATCCTAATTCTTCCATTTTTTTTATATATAGTGAATCAACCAAGGGCATTTGAATTTTATTCTTTTTGCTGATATTAGTCTACTTTTATTGTGGTTCTGTCCTACAGTTGTAACTATAAGCAATGTCCCAGATGCCTGTTGCTCATGTAGTGCAAATCACTAAGCTACTCTAAATCAGAATCAGTTCTGTGGAGGATGAATGAGTGATTGACTGTGATGAATTCCCTCTTACTGATTCCACATGCACTCCGAGGGCAAGCAGCAGCCAGGAACGGCTGATTTAACATCTGATTAACTGATCCTCGGTGAATGTGAGCAGCTCAATAAAAGCAGACGTTTGCTGCTCTGGAGCTGTTCAGTGCGTGTTAACACAACACTAAGCAAAGACATCAAGCAATATCCTTAGAGAAGGAATTGCTTTCGCCCATCACTCTGGGAAAGGTTATAAAGCCATTTTTTAATTCACAAGTGGAACCTTTGGTCAAAAACCCAAGAGATAGTCCTCAGAATCTGGAGGCCTCAGTTAGCATGCCAAAGTCATCACAGCACATTAAGGAAAAGGCTGAACGATTATGTCTTGTTTGATTGGGCTCTAGGAGAAATTCTCTTCTCTGTAAAAAATAATAGGACAGCACTGGAAGCCTGCTTGTGCTTTACATTCCCAGCTCATTCTACAGGCCCAATAGGGAATAGCTGATGATTTGGAACTCTGCTGACAGTCACTGTCCCTGGATCATTACCACAATAAGGAGGCTGGATTGTCTAATCGGGCAAAAAATAAGTGCTGTGAAATGATAACGTTGGTCTCTCTGTAAATCGAATGTGTTGCTGTGTTTCAGTGTTTGATGACGGAGATGAGAAGACTCTTCGTCGAACATCGCTGTGTCTGAAGGGGGAGAGACATTTTGCGGAGAGTGAGGTGGGTTTTTAGTCATAGCTTTAAACATCCGTTATTTCTTAACATGTCCACATACCACTGATGTGCCTTAAAGGCTACGTTCATACTGCTGCCTTTAATGCTCAATTCCAATTGAATTTTTAATTTTTTTAATTAAATTCGATTATTTTTGCGTGGTTGTTCACATTTCCAACTAAATGACTTGTGTATGGTATCCGGTATGAACTGCTAATGACCCAAAAAGTGTCCCCCAGGGGAAGCAATAACGCCACATGTTTTCTTTGGCGTTGCAGGACACAGAAAAGTGGTCTTTGTCCAGTATCAATAATGTGTAGGTCTGATGAAAACAACCTGACTGACACAGGTCACATTTGAAAAGATCTGATACACATCGGATTTAGGAGCGCATATCAAAGTAGCCTGGGTCGCATAAAAAAATAAATAAATTAATTAAAAAAAAGAATCCGACCTGTGTTGTTCAGACTGCCATGAAAAGATCAGATACAGGTCGTATAAGGGCAAAAAATATCATGTTTAGCTCACTTTAGGCTGCAGTGTGAACACAGCCAAAGTGTCTGAAAAGATTTTTATCCCACTGTCACACAGACGCTGGACCAGCTGCCACTGACAAACCCGGAGCATTTTGGCACTCCAGTCATTGGCAAAAAGTCGAACAGAGGAGGCCGGCGCTCTTCCCAAGCCGTGTAAGGTTTCTTTGACTTTAATAGGCATGGACAAGAAAACGCTAATAACAAGTGTGATGAGATGTTTTTATTCATCAGGGCCCGTTAGCCCCACTGTGAATCTGATCTTGCTATATTTGAATATTGATCCTGTAAACGGTAGGTCAAGATCTATAAGTTACAGTAATATTTTGGTACATGACACGTGTGACATATGTTTTTTTTTTTTTTTTAAACTTGCACTCCTGATATTTTTGTTGAAATGCTGGAATTATTTTAAATTAGATTTTATTTTTTTATTTTTTTCTGTTCACTTTCGCCTTGGTGGAAAAACTACAAGAAGTCCTGATGAAATGAGTTTGTGTTTTCCCATAAGAATTTCAGGACTCTTTACGAAACTTTTTTTTTGTTTTTACCTTTTTTGTCTTCATCTTGTTGTGCGCGGTGCATCTTTTTGGATACAGTTGTTTTATCCGCATCCACCTTGTGATCTTCTGTGCAACTTCACATATGGATCAGGTTGCCCTCTTCTTAGCCACTCCTGTTAGATCCCAATTGGTTGTGGTCTGCAGAGTGACAGTCCTACAAAACCTCCACAATCCACCTTTACTGGCTCGTATTAAGCCTTCCAGCCCCCCTCTCTACCAACTCCTGGTACTTCACGCATTGTCTTTCTTTGCCTCTTCCATCTGCTCCATCATGTTTCGAACATCTCTTCCCAGGACATAGTGACTCTGTGTCTTTTTAGCCTGAGAGATGATGACAATGTCTGGCTGGAGTGATGTCATGCTGAGGGATCTTCATTCTGCTTTCCCAGTTCAGCTTGTAGGGGTGATGGCAACTTTCTGCAAGGGCTTTTGGATAGCTGGATAACTCGCCAAAAGCTATAAGGATTCTCTTCCAAAGCATTGCTGGCACACTAGTGTCTCACTCTTGCCCCACGTGGAAGTCGGCTGGGCTTGGTGGTGCGTCGTATTCAGCCTGGATGAGCAAACGGGTGCACGGAGTCGGCCTTTTTGATGTGTATTCATGTGTGACTGTCCTGCAGGATTCTCTCCCACTTTTTCCACGCCCCCTGCTGTGTGTGTCCCACTGTTCTGCTCACGCGCTCTTCCTCCACGCCTCCTGGACAGCTTCCAGTATTCGCAGGTGGCTCTCCTTGCCTGGGACCGAGCCTGCTTGGGTCTTTGACGAAAAGCCCCAGCCAGAGTCTCCTTCTTCCTGAGGCCCGACAGCTTTCACTGCTCTCCACCTCCTCCCTGTTCTTGCTTTAATGCTGACACTTTCCTGGTCCTTACGCGTTATTCACTGAGACCACTGAAGGGGAGCTATATGATGTTGCTGAAATCTGGAAATCCCAAACTTCTGCACTGTAGGATCGATGTAGTTCTTGAGGAGAAACTTTTAGTCTCTCAGAAACTGTGCTGGAAAACACTTTCTTTTCAAGACCCAATGAGACGGGCCGAAACGGCCGGTCAGCAGCTCTCCCCTTTGCAATATCACATTCAGAATTGCACAGAGGGGACGCTGGGGCCGAGTACGGGTTGTGAACACGATGCACACCAATGGAGCGGAGGCAAAGCGTGCTTTCTTAATCACCTCCTCCAGGCAGGGCTTCCTCAGATTGAATGTTTTTGCCTGGTGAGCTTGGTCATCGAGGGCTTTGTTGGGTGCAAGCCCCTGTTTTCTCAACGGATCGCTCAAGAGCGTCATGCAAAAAAGCATGAACTTCTGGCAGGCAAGCATTTGTTCTCAAGCAGTTGTTTTCTGAAGCCAAAGGGATAAAGGAATAAACATGGTGAACTCTCTAGCCCCCTCTCTTTCCCCTCTCCTATGCCACTCAGCATGTCTGGTCTTTTCTTAGGATGTTTCGAAGGTCGGTCAGCTGGTGCTTGTTTCAGTAGAACTTTAGTATCTTTTCTTTGAGGCTGTGGAGCTCTCGCCCCAGCTGCTGAATTTTGGCCGCTCTGTTGTTTGTTCTACAAGTGCACCTGGTGTTTCCCTTCTTAACAAGGCCAAATCTATCTGTCTCTCCTGGGTACTGTATCTGTGAAGAGAAAATTCAATGGTTTAGTGACTTTGTCTTGAGAAAAAAAAGTTACTGAGTAGACCATTCAAACACAATTTCCTTATCACACTAATTTAAATAAAGTCACGTTTTGAGTAGATGATATACATTCCTGATCAAAATCTCAAGAACAGTTTAAAAAAATTTCAGTTATTTACATTTTGCACTGTTGTATTTTAAGAGGTTCTAAGTAGAGCTTCATATAGAAGTTTTGAAATTTATTGAGTTCCTCTTGATTCTGTCTTTTATTTCAGAGCTGATGAAGAAAACGACACGTCTTCCAGCGAGGATGAGGAGTTCGACCGGAGGAGACTGAACGACGAGCTGCTGGGAAAAATCTGCAGCATAGAGAACGTGGAGGATTCCTGCAGCTGGTTTCTGGCTCTGGTGAACGGACGCACACTCATCACATACAAACAACTTTTTTAGGTAGTGACAGAATGCCAGGTTTGCAGACGTAACACTGTTGGCTCCCAAAATCCCAAGACATAATGTTTTCCCCACAACATAGTAAAAAACATAAAGAAATCTGAGTCTATGAAGGAATTTTCGGAATCTGTTTCCACTCGCTCAGTTTAGTCCAATCTAATCCAGTTTATTGTAATTCTATCCTATAAATAAAGAAGCTTTACTGAGTGATTCAGACCTTGCTGTGAAAATACATGAAAAAGCATGAGACAATGACTCCACTGGGTTAGATATCTGTGCAAAATAAAAGAAGCAGCTCAAAGATAGAGCCAGCAGGGACATTGCATCTAAACACAGGTGCTCAGTGCATCATGGGAAGTCTGACTCCCTACTGGGCGGGCCTATTGCAGGGTCCAGCCCTGGATCCCACACTGTAACCGCTCTGTCACAGATAAGAAGTCCGAGGCCCATCACTCTAACACTTCCATCCACTTCTGCAGGTGGTGTCTCCTAGTTGTAACGACGAGCTGATGGTAAAGAAGGATCAGTGTCTGGTCAGGTCATTCTGCGATGGCAAGTTGTGAGTATTTATTTTTATTTTTCACAAAAATCTGTCCCATCAAAACTGAGTAAACATCTTCAGTAGATTTTGGAATGTAGTTCTACCATTGATGGTGTTCCTCTCCTACATATCCTACGTCTTTTGCTCTGTTTTAGGAATTAGTTTGTGCTCCTGTAGCACCACTTTTAATGTTGTAGATTAGGGGTGCCCAACTAAAAGAGAAAGAGGCCCACGACCTCCGTCATTCACACAATCTGGTGTCCGAACATTTTTAATCAGACGTAAAAACTTATTTTCATGTCATTTTCATAGAACATTTATCAACATAGACTTTTTTTGGTGGTAATTGATCAATTATTGACATGCCCACTTAATCATTTCCTTCTCAGTAAATTTAAGTACTAATTCTAAACAGATTTAAAAAAGTTAAGCAAATTATCTAATAATCTTTGCAAAATGTGTTGCACACAAACCAATATTAAAGTGCAAACAGTTCACCTAAAAACCAAAAAGGTCATATTCAGTAAATTAAAGAACTGTAAACTGTTCTGCATATACTTTTTGACAAAAACAACGTAATGTAACATATTTCAAAACAGTGGTGGCTCTGAAATTTGCAGAAATTGGAATGAGGTCATGGCAATTTATAAACGTGTATGAAGATGCATATTTGTAAGTTGTGAGTTAAATCTGTTATATTGAGTTGAAAGCTGACTCAAAACTGTTTTTAGCAATTGAACAAGTATTTATATGCATATTAATCTAAACGAAAAATGAAAGCATATGTTTGTTATTCATCTTTAAATGTGCATTTTGTCCATTTTGTATATTTGATAAAGCCATCTTCTCTTTGGCTCTTCCTGACCTTCATGCTTTTTATTTCAGTTGCATCGTGGCAAGGAGACACGTGCACCCTGTCAACTCCATGAGCATCATTAAGTCTGAGTTCTTCAGCAGAAAGGGTAAGGCCTGGTCCTTTTTCTACCTCCCCCTGTACCTCTCTTCCCCCTTTTTCTTTCTTATGTGTGTTCATCTCTTTTTTTTCTTCCTCCTTTAGGTCTTGAAGAAGCACAGATATTCCTCAAAACTAGAGAGGTTCCAGATGCATGGAAGATGGATATGAGTCAGATCCTGGACTCGTCATCCGGTGAAGATGAGGTAGATGAAAAGGAAAGTGACGAAGAGGAGGAGGAAGATGCCGAAGCTGAAAAGAAGAAGAAACACATAAAAGAAGAGGTAATATTTGATTTGAAGTTTGATTGGAAGAGTAAGAGATTAGAAAGTCTGACAAACTACATCACAATCTGACAGACTCACCAAATTCTGCTTTTTGTATTTCCCCCCTGCCTCTTTCTTCCGTTTCAGCCGGAGGAGGAGGCAGACCCCGAGGAGAGGGACCACTTCCTGCAGCAGCTCTATAAATTCATGGAGGACAGAGGTCAGACTGCTAGATTTGTATCCAGAACCAGAACAAAAGCGTTCATTATTCATCCATTGAGCCATAGAAACACATGAACAGCAGCAGGATGGTCTGGTTTCTCTTTTAGTTTACCCCTCATTATTAAACCCGATAGAATGTTCAGTTTGTTTAGTTTTTAAATAACTAGATTTTCTTGTGACGTTTTTTTAATGATCCAGGTTATATAAAGTATTTAAAGTTCAAACTCAGAGTTAAATCTTGCAGCTTAAAGTGAGAGAATGGGGGAACTTACTGAATAAAGAGAGTTTAAATGAGTTATAAACAACCAGTTTTAATATTATTAAGATTTTCATCAATAATTGTTCAGAATGCTTCCACATTTCTTTAAGAAATGACCGTGATTTCTTGTGTCTTGCAGGGACTCCCATCAACAAGCCTCCAGTTTTGGGTTACAAAGATCTGAACCTGTTCAAGCTCTTCAGGCTTGTGTATCACCTCGGAGGCTGCCACAAGGTGAGCGGTTTAGCTGCCCACAGTTGGTCAGTGTGATCAGTCATGATGCTGAAGAGAGCCTTCTGTGACAGACTGTCCCACTACTTGATGGACAGACCCTTACGGCTGTAACTGAACCGATGCTGTGCTTTTCTGTTTCAGATTGAGTCCGGCACAGTGTGGAAACAGGTGTACATCGATCTGGGGATTCCAGTCCTCAATTCTGCTGCATCCTACAATGTCAAGACGGCCTACAGGAAGTAAGGGAACTTAGATTTGTTCAGCAAAGCTGGTTAAACATTGATTCTGGCTTCAGCTTTATGGTTTTATGTTCGGGCTCTATGTAGCTTACGTACTTATGTATGCCTTAAGAAATACAGTGATCCAGTGTACTTAATTTAAAGGGGAAATCTTTCTAAAGCGACGGGTTTCTCAGCAGAGTCTTACTCAAAGAGAATGGAGGCACTATTTGTTAGATCCCCTTGTCAGTTTTCAATAAGGATGTAGAAGATGGGAATAAGATAAAGTTCAAACTGTTTCAGAGAAAATTTGCTAGTGAAAGTGAGTGAACAGCTTCTTTAGTTAATGTGTGAGTTGACTTTCATCGGAAGCTGCTTCTGGTTCAAGGTATTCCCAGAGATAAAGAAGGGCTGTCTCCATTTGCCATTTGTCCACAACAGTGTTGTTTTTCCATTTAGGTGAGAATACCTTCTTTTGAGTTAAAACTACTTGCAGTTGAGTATCCCGTGCAACCTACTGGAAGTTGAAACCTATAAACTTACGAAAAGTGAAGTATCTTTGAGCCTGTCAGACAAATTAAAGTCTCTCATACATCTCTGCAGACCTATCTCTGGGAACTTTGGGTTCTAGCTTGTGGCACCGTACATTTGTGATTGGTTAAGCCCTTTCTGTTCAATTTCCCCTCTTTTTTTCTCAGTCATTTTACATGTAATCTGTTTATGTTGCTGGCATTTATAAAGACTTTTGAATTTTACAATTCATGCAGCTTGTGTTGGCTGGGTGTTGCAGCTGGTGAGATAAGAGAATGAATGGGGACAGGAAATGGTTTTAAAGAAACTGGTGCAAAAACACGAACTGATGATTGGCCAGTGTTTAAGCCTGAGATTAGTAGAAATGCACACTACCAATAGAATTGTGCAGCTTTAACAGATGTTGAGTGAAAGCAAAGGAATGCACTTGGCCAATGAAAATGCAGAAAGGAGTTAATTCTCTGGTGAATAGCAAATGAGAGAGTCTGAAATATACATTTTATTGCAGCATCTGTAAGCACCTGACACTCAGTTGAGATTGTTTTAATGTTTGCAGAACATAACACAAAAGTAGGATAGACCCGCATGTATGCATGGCGATTTTTATGTGGTCATACATAACGACTTTCATGGAGGCTTAATATTTGAGCCACTACTTGTCATCTGTCACCCGTCGGCCATCTCCAAACCACAACACAAGCTTGAAAGTAACCTGGGTCTATTTTTAGATATCTGAAGCCACTGCAGTGTTTTTTATGTTTCCCTCAAGACAGCACATTTAGAAACTGAGCCAAATATTTGTTACAGTGCTAAATAAAATTAGATGCATTATATATTTTGGTCAGTGGAACCCACAGAAAGCATGTGGACATGAATACATGCGTTACATGTTCTAACTGAAATCCAGTGCCAGTAGCAGCACTTTATTAGTCATGTATAAATCATAATAATCTTGCACTCCATGATATGTTTGATGTTGTGATGTAACTGCTCAAACATACTGCAGAAGACCCAGTTCTAACGCTGACTACTGAAGGCAATGCAAAACTTCACTCTTGAATTTGTGCCGTTTCCAAAGTATTTCAGTTCAGCTTCATCGAACACCAAGTTGCCCCAAGTGTGATTGCCGGACTGTTTAATAGTTTGTTTTAACAAGCCCTGAACCAGCAGCTATAAAAGAGCTTTTATGGCTGCTTTTATCTTAAAAGCTCCTCAGTTTATTCCATGCAAACCAAATGAGCATGAATATCAAGACGGGAAAGAAAATTAAATCAGACTGTCTTCAGTCCACTATTTCATTTGGGGCATTGCCTTTTGTTGTTCTGTGATGTTTGACAAGAAAACATTTTGGTTTTGGTGAATGTACTGGTTTTAATAACAGCTTGATATTTCTTCAAATGATTAAGAAAGCACCATTGTCGCAAACCTCGGTGTGGAGGCTGGAGCCACAGTGACCTTTGACCGCTCGGTTTGTATTGTCAGGTACCTGTACGGCTTTGAGGAGTACTGCCGCTCCGCCTCCATCACGTTCAGAACCATCCATCACAACAATCCTCACCCCCACGCCCCGTTGGCCAATCCAAAGAAAGCTAAAGCGGAGCCGAAAGAGGCCTCCGCACCTCAGGTGAAAGTGGAGCCTGTGGATGACAAGAGGGAGGAGGCGGAGACGGGGAGTGAGAGCGAGAAGGAGATGAAGGACAGACAGTCATCCCCACGGGTAAGAAACGTCTTCTTCTTCTTCTTCTTCTTCATCTGCAGCGAAAATGTGACTGCTCCATGCTTTCCTGTAGCACTGAGGAGGAGTGTGTGTGCAACCAGGCCAAATATTCATTTACTACCAAAATGTATAAGCATGAAGGCCTTTTAGAGCAATTTCTCTTTACCGGTTCTCAGGGGAGGAGGAGGTGTGTCGGCAGTAGAATGAAGCTCCCCTCCAGGCCGGAGAATGTAGGACTATCGCCAGCCGCCGGGGGAGAGAACAGCGAGGAGAAGCCGCGGGAGGCGAGGAGACGCAGCAACAGAAGAATGGATGACTCAGAGAAGGGCTCTGATGACGAAGAGGAGGATGACGACGAGGAGGAGGAGGAGGAGGAGGAGGATGACGATGACGACGATGATGATGATGAGGAGGAAGAAGAAGAAGAAGAAGAAGAAGGGGGAGATGAGTTGAGGAAGGAGGACAGGTGAGTCATGGTTTCTCCATCGCATTGCACAGGCTTCAATTTCCATTTCCAACCCCAGCCCCTCACAGCTGCCCGTGTCTGAGACATTATCAGACGGGCAGTGCTGCTGACCCCACCTTCTGGTCAGCAGAGGGAAAAAAAGCAACCCTGAGTAAGAGCCTCAGTACTGCTCGTTTTGTGAAGAGGTGATTCTCTGTTCTGATCTATCATTGGTCTGCAGTGTCTCCACATCTCCCTGTCGTAGGCCTGCACCCTCTGTAAACTAAATGGAGTCCATTGCTAGTTCTTTTTAAGACATTTATGACATGGGATTTTGTTTTTATGGTGACAGGATGATCCTCTGTATGCTGACAAGCTCAGTCAGTGGAGCTCTGCTCTCGTAAGAAGCTTCTCACAGCTAGAGTAGCAGTTTCCATCAATATGCTTATAGTCACACTTTAGAAAAAGGATATCGAATAAATTCACAAGTTGTTACTCACATGATGGGCCAGTTTTCTCACCAAGAATTTTTGATGGCTTCTCCTATTGTCTCTGACATGACAAAGGCTACAGCTTTTGTTTTTTTCTTTTCGGTCCAACCTGTAGGGATATCTTTTGCTCACACACAGTAGTTTAAAAAAAAAAGTAATGGCCACGTTTTTGATAAAAAGAAAAAGACTTTGATGTCCAGCCTCACTGTGAGACATCTGCAACTATGTCAGATTTAACGAGCCACAGACAAATATTTCAATTTCAAAGAGAAATTATCATCAGTCGCCTTCAGACTCTCTCTGGAACCTAAAAATCAGGTTAAGAATCTTGGGGTAATACTGGACTCAGACCCTTAACTTTAACAGCCACACTGCATCAATAACTTCAGCAGCCTTTTACCATCTCAAAAACATGTCCAGAATCAGCGGAATAGTCTCTAAACCAGACCTAGAAAGATGTATCCATCCATTAGTCTCCAGCAGGTTAGAGTACTCTGTAACAGCTGCTCACTGGGCTCTAAACCAGCTGTCAGACAGCTGCAGAACACCCAGAATGCTGCTGCTAGAGCTCTGACCAGAACCAGGAAATACCACCATATCAGTCCAGAGCTCAGGTCTCTGCTCTGGCTTCCTGTCACTCAGAGACTTTAAAACAGTTCTGCTTGTGTTCAAGTCTCTTCATGGTTAGGGGCCAAAGTACATCTCCGGCATGTTAACTGCACGCTTGCTTTACTAACTACGTCAGACTCTGGGCACCAGCAGGAGTCCGATACCTGAGGTTATCAGTCAGAACCAGAGCAGGAGAGGCTGTGTTTCAGTTTTTTGCTCCTTAAATGTGGAACAGTTTTCCAAAAGAGGTGAGACGGGCCTCAGCTCTGACAATGTGTAAATCCAAGCTGAAACTGTTCCATTTAGCTGTGCATATGACAACTGTATGTATTTTATCTGCACTATTAACTTTTGATTAATTTAATCAATGATTGTTTTATTTAGCTGAATTTATTCTTAATTGTCTGTTTTAAAACTCTTTGTAAAGAACTTCGTCTTTTACACTAAATGTGTCATACACATAAACTTGCCTTGTGAAAAATGAGCCGTTCCTTTTTTCAGGAGCGAGGATGGGGAGGACGGAGATTCTGTGACTGGCACCAAAGTCAAGGTGAAGTACGGCAAAGGAAAGACGCAGAAGATCTACGAGGCTCACATCAAGAAAACGGACATGGACAACGGAGAACAGTTCTACCTAGTTCACTACTACGGCTGGAACGTCAGGTCAGTGTTATTTTCAGAAAACGCATGGTCTGTCAGCAGTAGTCCTGAGAGAGCTGGTTGTAAAGCTGCACTGCCTTTGAGGCTCTTATGGCCCTTTTCCAGATTCTGTATTTACTCTACTTTACTGCCCTACTCGCCCGTGCACTGTGTAGGTGGTTTTCCATCACAAATGAGGTCCTAACAGAAAATCAGCTGGACTGCCCCCTGGTGTAATTTGTATGCGACACAAGCAGAGACAACAATGAAGGACTTGGCTCCAAAGATATAACGACTCAACCTCGGATTTTGGTGTTGTTGGTTTACGTATTAGGCATTTACAACATTGATGATATGAGAAATAATTTAATTGCACGTTTGTTGTTGCTAACTATTGAAAACGGGCAGAGATTCCTTATTATTGTGTCACTTTCATGACTCATCCAGTTATGTGACGCCATGGCCAATCGGTGGCCGGCAGTCTGCTTTTGGCCCTTACCCAGCCCACGTGGAACCTCGGCCAAGGAGGTGCTAAAACTGTAACCGTTTTGAGGCCAGCCCCTAATCGAAATGCGTGTATGTGTGTAGACAGACAAAATGCCAATGATGTCGTTGTGCAATGGGTGACACAAAGGTGTAGATGGCCTTTTAAAGATGTAGCCTCTTTGACCCTCACAGAAAGCTGTCTCACTGCACTGGTCTGTGTCGGGTATGAAGATGGATGGGGCGTCTTGTGGGGTAGCAGAGCTAACTGTAGAACCAAATTATCAGCAACAGCTGTGGATGTGTTCATTGCTATTAGATTGAAGCTGAAAATTATTTTGATGTTAATGAATTTAATGAATTAATCTATTCATTTAGCTTTATTATGTGAACGAGTGTTTTGGCTGCTGATGCAGTGTGCATCATTCACAACTGGATGCTGGGGTAGGGAAACTGTAAAAGACAACTTCTGTCAACACTTTGTTCTTCAAAGATAGAATGATATTTACTCCCACTTAGAAACTAAGTTTTTATTTTTATTTCATAACATCCAGTCAACCAATCAGATTGATTGAATCCCAGATTAGTCTAATTATCAAAAAACGTTTCTTAGCACATATTATATTTCTCTGATCCTCTTCTGCATCTTCAAAACAAAGTGTCTGTGGAAAGAAATCTCCATTTTATCAAGAGGAAACCTCCAACAAATTGAGGGGAATGTCTCCTAAAAAAATTTGAAAAGGGACTGGGTTTGCTAATGCTTTGTGGTTAGCTCAAATAGATGGAGTCAGGATCTTAATCTGCTGTACTAGCTTGTACATCAGTGTTGCTAGTCGGACGAGTTCCATGAATCGTCTCTCTGACACTTCTGTCTCAGACTAATTGATGTGCTGCTCTTTCTGTACGTGGAGCAACACACTCGACACCACCAATACAGACGAATCCTGTGGTACAATGATTTTTTTTAATGTAATTGTATTTGGCCTAAATTTGACAGTTGGTAGTGACAGTGACGATTCTTTTGTGACTCCTGGCAAAAGGGAAAAAGGGTTTGGTTTGGACCCACATCAGCCAAAGCCCATACAGTCTTGTTGTTTTTCTTGTCAAGAAAAAGTGTGCTGCAGCTTCTGTGGCAGATGTTAGTTGATGTGAATATGGGTGAATTAAAGATAAGGAGATGAAAAAGATGATAAAAGTAAACCAAATCCCCCCTGCTGTTTCAGTAGGTATGCTGACTGTTGGCTAACAATGAAAAGTATACTATGTGTTCTGGTCAGTGACTATTTCCCATAAACCTCACTGCCTTAAGTATGAGGACAGAGCAGAGGGAAGGATTGAAATAATTGTGTTTCTGTTCCACAGGTACGATGAGTGGGTGAAGGCTGACCGCATCATTTGGCCGCCAGAAAAAGGAACAAAGAAGAGGCAGAGGAAGAAGGTAAAGGTGAGATACCCAACAGAATCCATGCTTTTAGAGGATAAAGCATACATAGCAAGCAGGTCCAGTGGGGAAACGTTGCTTATTGCTCATTTTTATGGCTAATTCTGGCCATTGCCTAAAGATGGATAAAAACCTGTAAGGAGGCTAAATAACTTACAGATTTCCATAGCCACAGAAGCTCTCTAATTCAGTCGATGGAGTAACTAAGGGTGAGAAATGCTCATGACCTGCTCATTCCACTGTAGAAAGCATGGCCAAAGAGATTCTAATGTAGCAGTTCTGTGCCGTCACCTCCGGGGGCCGGTCGCGCTGACTTTCTGTTGACTCCAACTTAATAACCAGCTTTGCTTTTTTTTTGTGTCTCCCCTCACAGAACAGAGACACGGACGAACCAGAGAAAGATGAGGAAAAGCCTGCCTCATTGGCGGCGGTGAAGGCCAAGCGCGGCCGTCCACAGATCCGGACCAGCTCCATGGGACGCAGTGGATCCAAAGCCCCCAGCAGCGAGGGACAATCCAACGGCAAAAGCAGCCGGATGGACTCCATCTCCAACTTGACCAATGGAGATGGTAGGAGACACAGACCCATCAGCAGAGTGGTTCACTGGTGTAACTGTTTTTAACTGCTGAATATCCAATATGAATGTATATTTTTTTCTCCCCTGTACGATGTGCCTTTCTGCAGACACCCCTCGCAGGAGGACGAGGCGGACATCGGCCATGTACGACTCCGACCGGGCATCCAACGGTGAGAACCACTCTGGAGCTTTCCTGTTAGGTAGAGGTTTCCAGGTTGTTTGTTGCTAACCGCTCCTGTCCCCCACCGCAGAGGACTCTGGGAACTCCTCGGATGGCAGCGAATCAGAGGACAAGGCTGATGCAAAGCCGTTACCATGGCGAGGGAGAACCGATGGTCCGCCCTGCAAGCCAGAGGAAGAGCTGGAGGAGGAGGAGGAGGAAGAGCTGGAAGAGGAAGACACCAGTGAGATTTCTGACGTCGCCGCACCTGCTAGCGACAACAGTTCGGTAGCCACGGCGAAAGCTCCGCCCGCTCCCACCGTCACGCCCTGTCCCAGCATTTCTCAGGAGACAGCCGATGAAGCCCTCGACCAATCAGAAAGAAGGGAATCGAAGCAGAGGGAGGAGCCCGAACTAGAAGCCGAAGTGGCACCGACCCCCCCGGAGAAAGAGAAAAAGGCGTGTGTCCTGAGGACGGATAAGCTGTCCCCGGGGCAGGAGGGGCTCCGTGAAGCGTCCCCCAGCAGGACGCCGCCGCCCGCCTCCTCATCCCCCGCCGCCCACGACCCAGGCCATTCCACCCCCGTGTCCTCGCCCAGGGTCAAAGGTCAGCGGGGAAGCCCTAGGGAGCCGGGTTCCGAAACCCCTCCCACGATTCCCCTCTGTACCCCCAGCCCCACCCCCAACCCCCCCCGCCGGCCCCACCCCGACAGACGTGCTGTCCCCCCCCCGCGGTGTCCTCAAGAGGCAGGAGGAGCCCATGGTGGTGCTGCACTGCCTCCCCGCGCCGCACGCCGCCCCCAAGACGCCCCCCGCCACCTCCGACACGGACTCCGCCACGGAGGAGGAGGGCGGCGAGGAGGAGCGGGGCGGCGCCGTGATGAAACGCAAGGCGGCAGAGCAGCGGACGGTGGAAAAGAAGCTCTGCCCCGACAGGAGGCCGGAGGAGGCCTCCCCCGCCAAACCCCCCCCCCCCCGCCCGGCCCCCCCCCAACCCCCCCCCCCCCCCCCCTGCCCCCCCGGGAGCAGCGAGGGCCAAACCAAGGCCCAGGACTGCCCCCGTCTCGTGGGGGAGAAGCCGGAGGAACACGCGTCGGAAGCCAAGCAGGAGTCGGAGGTGACCGTGGGGGCGCCCCCCCTCCTGACCGAGGGCCCCGGTCCCAACGAGGAGCTGGAGCCGCAGATCGGCCCCGAGGCGCTGGTCTGCCACGAGGTGGACCTGGACGACCCCGACGAGAGGGAGAAACCCGCCCCCTCCCCGGAGCACCTCCTGCTGATGATGCGGGAACCACAGATAGCCCCTCCCCCCCTGCCGCTGGCCGTCCATTCCCCGCCCCCCCCGCACCAGACCGCCCACCTCCCGCAGCCTCAGATCAGGCCCTACCTGATAGCGGCCCCCTGCTCCGAGGAGCTCCACCAGGGCAAGGCGGCCGCCGAGGAGGAGCGGGGTGCGGGCGGGGGGGGGCAGGAGGGGGGCTGCAGCCCCGGGTTCGAGGGCAGCGCCTCCTCCTCCTCCACCTCCCTGCTGTCGCTGCAGGAGAGCAAAGACCGAGGTAAGGGACGGCGCAGGAGCAAAGGGGGGCCGACCGGCACCCCGACCGACCGACCGGGCGGGTTGCGGTAACGTGTGACCTTTGACCCTTCAGGTCAGAAGCGGGTGAACGACTGCGGCTCCAGCCCCTCCGCCAAGAAACACAAACGCAACCAGAAGCGGCCCCATCCCTCCGCCAAGCTGGACAAGAACGGAGCAGGTAAGGGGACGGGGTGCGACAGGCTCCAGTGTGTGGGTAACTTTGGGTAACTTTTTCTGTAAATGCCCCCCCCCCCCATCTCCCTCCAGGTCACAGCAGTGACAGCGAGGACCAGGTTCGCCTCTCTCTGTCCAAATCGCAGAAGTCTCGGTGCCCCGGGTTTTCGCCTCCGGCGGCCCACAACAAGGACAAACCCAGCTTTCCGTCCCATCAGCGCTCCTACAAGTGGACCCTCCAGCTGGGTAAGAACACACCGCTGCCCACGAGCCACTACGGCCACGTGAAGCCAGCTGCAGGGCGGCCACAGCAGGTCTCAGGGTTTCAGTGGGGCTAATCTGTTTGAATGTTATGGAATGGAGAGTCACTGCCACCAGGGGAAACTCTGCTGTCTCACCCAAAGGTCCATAGAACTGCCATTCTTGGATTCAATTCCTACCCCTTGTTGGGTTTGGATCTAGCTACTCCCAGCTGCCCAGGGGTTCCATCCTGGCCTTAGTGCATTTAAACCCCTCTACTAGACGAGATAGTTGGAGCTGGAGTATGCCGTTCACATATAGTGCCACAGAACCTTGCATCTGCAGTAGATAATGGAATCTCATACACAGAGAGTGGACATATTCAACCTAAAAAACAATCCAAACTGTAGACGCCCTCTTTAACTTTCCTGGAAAACCTAATTAATCTATTCTATCCAGTTTGACCGCAACGTCTAAACTCTTTTCTGACTTTTCCCTAACCATGGAAATTTTCTCTTCATCCATTACAAAGTTTCTATCCCTTAATTGCCCTCCCCACACCGAGAAGCTTCTGGACTTACTGGGCTTGATTTTCCTACCAGCCCACTTTAGATTTTCTCTCAAGCATTCTCCTATATAGATGGCATTGTAAACGTCATAACATCCATGTAAGCCCTAATTGGTGTAAAGTGCATGCCGTCCTAATGTATCCTGACCGTGTTAAAAGCTCTAATAATGATCTCCATTGTGATTGTAAATGCTTATGGAGAAATTGTGCACCCTACCATGACGCCTATTTATAGCCTCTGCCAACCATAGGCACAGTCTCGTGTCCTGAAATATACTCTAAGTTCACAACTACTTCTGGCACTCTAAAATAATCAAATTCTTTCCAAATAAGGCTGTGTTACATTGGACCAAACGCATTTTTTAAATCCAGAACTATAGCATGCAGATCCTTTTTCTCAATTTGAATCAGTCTGAATCTGAAGGTGGAAGGCCTACTACTCTGCCCTGCTCAAGATCTGAATGTGTATATCCCCGACTTTGCTGCTAGGCGGCTCTCCATTTTCCTGGTTTAACAACCCTTAAACAAACTGTAAAAAGCGGTCCTAACATATTCTCTCTTCTTTCTCCAAGATGCTCTGCCCTGCTAAGCACTGCTAGCCCGTCTCTCCCCTCCTCCCTCCGTCTTTTCCTTGAGCTCTTCCCACTGCTTTAACTGTCTTCTTTCCTTAACCAGTTTCTCCATTTCTCTTTGTCATCTAGACTTATCTAAATGTGGATTTTCAGCCCTCTTTCTACACCATAGCAGTAAACGACATCTCCTATCTCTATAGCCTATCACTTGCATTACCCCTTAACCTACCTGTGGTTTTTTTACCCACGGCTGGACCAAATCAGCTAGAATCTGTTGGACAGGTGCTGCTGTTTTCGTTTTAACAGCAGTGGTTGTCAGAAACGATGTGGAATGTCCTCCTGCTTTAGTGCCTGCCATAAAGCAGGAGGAGCCATGGGTCCACAGCCTACCTGCTGGTTCTGTCTCAGTAAAGGAGAACAGAAATAATCGGTCTCTTCCTCAGACGAGCTGGACGGCATGTCGAGCGCGGAGAGGATCTCCTTCCTGCAGGAGAAGCTGCAGGAGATCAGGAAGTACTACATGAGCCTGAAGTCAGAGGTGGCCTCCATCGACAGACGCAGGAAGAGGCTAAAAAAGAAGGAGAGAGAAGGTAGGAGCAGCAGAGCAAGAGGGGAAACTGACTGTATTTCCTCAGTTACTGTTAGTTTGGAACCTTTTTTATGTAAGAAGTCTTTACTAACTGCTAATCTTCCTGGATTTCTATGACAATAGCATCAAACATGAATAGAAATGCGGTTTTGGGTTTTTTTCAATTATTTTTTATTGTTATTTTCAGTATTAAACAATACAGCAGTCATCTCTATCTGTTCATTACAACAGACTTATCTAGCTAATTCCACAGGATATACAGATGGAGATGAATGGTTCTCCCTCTATCACACACACACAAAAAAGAGATTGATAACACAAAAACAACGAACATAACTCCTTTGGCTAAAACCAAAAATGCTGGGGTGCGCTTCTGTTATGCAATGGTAAAATGAAGTAAATAATTTACTGATGCATCACGGTTGAAAATGAAAGGCATAGAGAACAAGGGAAATGGATACCAGGATGGATTGGACATATCTGATCCATCTTTCCCATCTTTTCATAAACAGATCCCTTTTTAATCTTAAAACAAAAGTCATTCTTTCCATCTTAAAGATGTTGTAAATTATGTCAGAACCATTCGTCCAATGTAGGTCTTTCTAGTTTTAGCCACTTCCTTGTTGCAGCTTTTCTAGAGATGGCAGAAATGCAGTTTTAGATGGATGGTGTTCAGGACCCCTGGAAGGTGTATGTGTACAGGGGCAGCTTCGGCTGATATTTGGAGCAGTTACCTTTCTGGGGCTGAACAAATGTCCACTGACCCCCCGTCTGCTCGTCCCCCCCTCAGTGTCCCACACGACGGCGTCCACCTCGTCGGGCTCCTCGGACACGGGGATGAGTCCGTCCTCGGCCTCGCCCACCCAGAACACTGTGGCCGTGGAGTGCAGGTGATGACACGCCCACTGGCTGTCCACAGCCACGCCCCCTCCGGGCCCGGACCCCCGCCGCTGTCCGCTCCCAGGGGGGCCGTTTAAGCCGGGACTGACGCAGTGGCTGCTGGGAAAACCCGCCACCCTAACACGTGGCTGCACAAGGCGCCCCCCCCACCACTCTCACATGTGGACTTTCTTCCTGTTCGAGGAGACAAATTTGAGGCAAATCTGCTCACCGTCTGTTGAGCTGGTGCAGAAACCCCCCCCCCCTGTTTTATTTGAAAACAGAACGAGGAAAAGCGACCTGTTTTCAGTCTTTATTTTATATGAAATCAAAGATTTTATTTTGATAAAAACTAAAGGAGACTCCCAAAAGTCTAAGACGTGGTGGTGAAGACCCGAATGAAATATTTCTACTTGAACCTTTAATTTTGAACACAACAGTGAAGTGTGAGCAGAACTTTTCACCCACTGTCTTTTTTTTTTTTAAACCCCCCCCCACCCTCGACGCGGAACATCAGAGTGCCAAGAGAATAAAACCTATGGAGAATCGGTCCTAACTTCTGCCATGAAATCATCCATTTTATGTTGAAATCGTCATCTTTGGTGCAGTTTAAACGTGTTCATTGTCCTTTCCTCAACGCCGAAATGACTCCCTGACAGTTAGTCTCCGTGGAGAACAATAAAACCTGTGTTGTTGAATCTGTCTGGACATAGGTGACTCAAATGTGATTTATAGCTTAAGTTCTGACTGCTTTGACAAAGTGTGACGTTCTATCTGCTGTTTTTAACATGTCACTGTCACCATAATGAACTTCTGATGTTTCCACGCGTCTCCTGTTGCTTTCCTCGGCTGTGGTTCCTTTTCTGCATCAGCTTCAGTCGTTTTCAGATCCTCTACATTTGTTTGTTTTGTACATAAAAGCTAAGAAAAGAATAAAAAACCAAACCTGTATTTGAGAACTGCATTTTACACACCCGCATAGAAAGATTTCTAATATTTTCTAAAGAGAAGACTGTTTGTACTGTAGTATTATGAACTCTTTGGTTGTTTGTTTCTTTTTCCACGTGATGTTTTGCCGGCGGTGGTTTGAGAGTGAAAACTGTAACTACAGAAACACACACTTCCTCCTTAGAACAGAGGCCAATGCTGGAAGTGTGTGCACAACAAGCAGCTCTGTTTCTAATAAAGTTTTTAACCATGCCCCCCTCTGTGCAACTGCATCTCCTTTCAGCACGAGGCTCTGTGTTCCCCCCCCTTAGCCTTTTGGTTCCCGTACAGAGAAAGACAATCAACAATTTTTCTTCCTTTTATTTTCAAAGATGAAAATCAATCCAGAAGCGCAACGAACGTGACGGTTAATGAACAATATAAAAAGAATCTAAGTCGGAGCCACATTTCATGAGAGGGGGGTGAGTGCTGGGTTTTACATGTTGTCCTCGTCTGAGTCGTCCTCCTCCTCCAAAGAATCCTGAAACGGATGAGTCAGGCTGAAAGAGTCCCCACGCTCCGTTCTCCCCCTCTACTAGCGGGAGGATTTACTCCACAGCCTTTATGTCAGACCCGATTACTCACCTTAGCGTATTTCTCTGCTTCTTCTCTGACTTCCTTGGGAACAAACTCGTGTCGTCCATTTGTGACTGGAGGAGAAGAGAAGAGAAGCAGACGTATCGGTACAGAAACCAGCCACCTGATTTGGTTCTACACCTCGATAATGCAGAAAAAGCGGGTTGGTTCCTACCCTCTCCGACCCAGCTGAGCTCCAACTCAAACGCTTTGTCCTTCACCTCGTCGTGAACTATGTAGATTCTGAAAACGAGACCACAAAAAGTCGGTGTTCTGTGTCCAGCCACTCCAGCCACAGAGCGCGGCTTTAAATGCAGTCTACTCACATTTTGGCCACCTCTTTAACCAGCTCTCTGCACGTCATCTCCTTCATCTGTTACAGTTACAGGAAGAAAGATGTCACCAAACCTTAACACTCCTGAACACCATCCTATGGCGTATGATATACACGCAGTAGCAGCCAGCATCACAGCTGGTGTAACACTGAAAACTGATCAACCCTAGGCCTAAAAATCTAGTAAAAATGATTCTACCTCACATGTAAATTAGTGGGTCGTGTGGGGACGGGATCCAGCTATGGACGCCTGAATAATGATGAGAGGATTTCACCAAACGGTGGAACCCAGACATGCAAAAAAGGCAGGAAACCTCAGGGTCCTGAAGCAAGTCCGACCTAAGCTTTATGCCTTCAGAGTTGTGTGTAGAGGAGGTGACACTGACCCTGTCAAAGGCCTTAATGTTACAACTGCTCCTTTACAATCCACCACCAACACCTCATCTAAACATGCTGACTCTTCTGAATGATGCAACATCTATGGTTTTATTTTGAAGGAAATATAATGCATACAGACTCAATTTATGGGACAGTTTCATGTTTCAAGCTGAGATCTTGTCTCTTAAATATGTGCTTCTTGTCCATTTGTACTTTTGTCAAAGTATAAACAAACCCAGACTCCATTTATGTGTGCCGCAGCAAAAAGAAACCAGATCATCTTTCCTCAGTTTCTCCTCATTTATTTTCACTGTCCAAGCCCTTTTCTTTCCATTTCCAGAACAACTGAGCTCAAACCTCCCAAAAGGCCCTGTGTTAGAACGGCAGAGGCTCACCTGGAGTTTTTCTATCTCTGTCTTGGCAGCTTGCTTGGCTTTTCCGATGGCGCAGCCCCAGTAGCCCTGAACACACAGCTCGTTAGTCCTGCACTCAGGGTTTTTGTTTTTCTTTATTACTGATCCAAAAGTGGGCCAACTCACGTGTGAGATGCCAGACGGGTCAACCATGTAGAGCTGAGGACCATCATCCTTGTCGTATGACCCCAGGATGAAACTAAAAGAACACAAGACCGCAGATTTGTTATTTTTCTTTGTGCAATTCCTAGAGAGTAGAGCAGGACGACTGCACCTACCTGCAGCCGAAGGGCCTGACGGCGCTGTACAGCGTGTAGGCGTGGACATACATGGCCACTCTGTCCGACAGATGCTGCAACAACAAACAGCGTGTGAGGCGTCCCATCCTGCTCCCGCTCAGAGCCAAAAAAATAAATGAATAAAGGGTCGGGTACCTTCAGAGGAATGTCATGTCCATAGTTTGATCTGAAGCTGGAGGCTTCCTCTCTGGCGACTTCGGCCAGGGAGCGAGCATCAGCTAGTAGACCAGCAACCGCCTACAGAAAACGAAAGGAAGAGACTTTTGTTGGATCACTGCTGACACACACATTACACAAGGGGCTTTGTACTAGTGTTAAAGGTTCACTTTCCTCCTCACGAGAAAAGAAAGCGGTGCCAGGTGGAAGTTGTGACATGCGACTACAGGAGGAGCTAAATAAGGTTACTCATCTCTAGGAAGGCACAATATTATTAGAGGATGAGACTCTTTTACACCACCAGGAACTTAAATTACTAAATAAATGAAACTACATTCCTGTCTGACCCACACCGTCATCCTATAGTGACCCCTTCACCAGTGTGGGCTGTCATTAGTGGGGCTAATGGGTGTTGAGTTACCATGCCGACATGTCTGTCGATGTTGAAGATGCGCTTGTTGGACCCGTCCTCGTACAGTTTGGACAGGACGAGCTTCTCCACCCCGAACACGACGCCGTCCTTACAGCGGATCCCGATGGCCGTGCTGGAGACACAAACACGTTCAGCGGAGGGACTCAAGAGCGGCGGTCATCAGCGGGAGCTGGGACTGACCTGCTGTTCTCTACCGCCTTCATGGCGTACTCCACCTGGAACACCCGGCCATCGGGGGAGAAGGTGGAGGCTGACAGGTCGTACTGAGGAACAAAAACACACACACTTATATTATTCAGACCAAAAGCAGCACTGGCCAAATGCAACAACAAAAAGGCACGTTTTCAAGACAAGAGACAGGATGTAATAATCTGAACCCTCTGCTGAGTAACTCAGAGCCTGATGCTTCGAATGCATCAATATGATTTAAAAAAAGTTCAGCTAAACCTCAGCTGCGTTGAAGTCAAAACCTTACCCTCCAAAAGTTACGAATGAACAAGAAGCTGTATCAATTAACTCAGAAAGGCTGTCAAAGCTTATTGAGTTAACTCCCACTTGTGCATTTATTTACCTAAAACACTCCAATTACAATCCCAAATCGAAAGAAACAAAGTAATAAGGGTGTGCTGTCAAGTTCGAAAGTCTGGAAGACAACAGAAATGTTTGGGGGAAGCCGGAGCTAACAGCTAACGGCTAGCTCCGGTTGTAGCGCATTAAAATACCTAATCTGAACAGAGGCCTGAGTCAAATGCAACAGAACCAAGGCAACCCAGTTAACTTTCTTAGTTTTTTTTCAGGCAGACTAAAAAGTTTATAAAATTACAAGTCAGGCTGGTGGTACTTTCACTTTGGCGGATGCTAACAGGCCTCTGTGTGACTCAGCAGGCTAACCGGTGCAAGGCTAGCTGCACGCTGTTGGGGGGAATTGCTTTTCGTTAAAACAACAGGAAGACTTTATGTAACCCTGGTTGAAAAGCCTGGCCAGAAAAACACAGACCGTACACCCCAAGCAGCCTGGGTTAAGACTAACACTGCGGTACTCACTCCGGTCCCGATGGAGCTCATTTTCACTCACGCTGAATCCCGACCAACTATGAGCGCTTCTTCCGGAAACACTCGAAAACTTCCGGTGTGACGTCACAACGAAGGACCAGTGCGGATTTTTATGTTTTTTTTATTTCGTCTTTCGGTAAATTGCGGTTCCACAGTCTCGATTGAAAATGTTAACAAATGCATTGGCAAGAGTTTTTCTTCTCAAAATCTATTAAACACATGAAAAAATAAATGTTTCATTGTTAGATCGCAAAAAAATAAGCATTGTCGATATCTGGAAACTTTTGAGCATTTCCTTGACAGGATAAACTTGAAGTAAATTTTCAAAATGAAGCACTTGCACTTGATACATTTTTAATAACTTTATGAGTTTTCCTCCTACTGCATAGCCCTGCAGTACACTGAAGAACTTTGCAACAGGTGAAACATTCCTGATATGTTTGTTTTTACTTATATCATTATTATTATTCTCTATAAACGAAGAATTCTTTAACATTTTAGGAGAACAGCTTCCAAAACATTGGCACACTATTAAGGAGTAATGGACTCAACACAAAGGGGGATAAAAACCAACAGCAGGCTAAACTCATCACCAGCCTGGGTTGCAATCATCAACCAAGGAGGGCTTTGTTTTTTGGTTTGTTTTTTATGATGCAAATTTTATTGAGTTATTTTTTTAATAGAACATACAACAAATATGTCAATATGCCACACCGACCTTTCCAAATCTACTTTACAGTTAGCCAGTTGGTAAAAGCATATCATGTACAATCATACTGATGTATTTTACATAAGGAGGCTGTATGTCACTTTCTTGTAAGAGGCCAGTTTGACCATAGTTGTCAGCCACTCATCATAAGGAGGAGGGTTCTTTTTCATCCAGTGTCTTCATAGAATCCTTTTTGCTGTAGTCAGAGCCAGAACAAGCCACCTCCGGTCAAAAGGCGAGAAGTGTGAGTCTGGGAGTTCTACTGTGCAGCCCAAAACTGCGAGCTTGGCCGTGATATTACACCTTCTTTTCAATATTTCAAAAATGACTTACAATCTTGAAGAGTAAGACAGGTCCAGAGAAAATGTAGAATAGATGCTCACTCCTCATTGGATCTCCAGAAAGTGTCTTTAGGAATCAAAGTCCATTTATGAAGTTGCTGAAGGGTTCTATCCATCTGTGAATGACTTTAATTGAATAAACTCGTTACTCATTTCTTTATACATTGTGTTTACATTTTGTAAACATGAATGCCAATCACCCTCAGAGATGTCCAAGGCCATGTCTTCAGTCCAGTGTTTTTCAACCTTTGATAATAGGTTGTCCAAATGAATAAGTAACATTTTGTATATGTTAGAGGTAATACCTTTGCCACTGGCCAGCTTGCAAAGCAAAATTTCTACAGGGCTGCCCGAGGGGCTTCTGAGAGGGCTTCCCAGCCATTTGGACATATCTCCAAAATTGATTGCGAAGGAGGGGGTTTTAATATGTTATTAGATAAGCAGCTAGTCAAATGGCCACGTCGTACTCAAGATTCAAACACTAATTAAATAATTTTGCAGAGATACAATTTAAAGGACATGTGGAGAGAATATTTTCATATCACAAGAAATTTTTTTTAAAGATAACTTCATTACTTGTAATGTTGCTAGCACATTTTCATTAAGGTATGAAAACAAAACAAATAGACAGAAAATGTCAATTACCCCATTATATTTGGCAAATTTCATATTCACAATTGAAGTTTTCATCATCTTCTCCATTTTTTAAAGTTTTTGTAAGGAAATCGAAATATATGTATTCGCTATTTCCAAGTGTGCAAAAAAAATGTTAAAACATATGACTGTTGAATGTTTTCTCATTTGCAATGTCTGTTATTTGTTTTTCCACCATTGCAAGTATTATAGAAGCCTACACCACTAGCATTTCATAGACTCTGTTTTATTATTTGTTTGTTGTTGTTACTGTTTTCATATTTGTGATCAAAAGACGTTTCTATATAAAAATAATAAAAATCACAGGGGACGACATCAACAGGAAAGAGAACCCATCAATCTGCTCTCAAATCTACTGTCTCCGAATAATTTGGTAGCTCTTGCAATTGCAAAGAAATTTGACAACGCAAAGCAGTCCACGAAAGATAGAGAGTCCGACCACTTTCGTCCTGCTACATATCTCTGCTGTCACTGCGTGAGATGTGAGGAAGACGATCACTTCCCTCATGTTAAAGGTGGCTGCAGCCAGATATTTATACGTATATGCCAGTTGAATTTTAGTTATAGATGTGTCTTGTGACACTGGGTTTATGCAATATCCATCCCATGATGTCAAATAAATATTACAGAACGTTATCATTTTTGTGTGATGTATTCAAGATCGGTAATCTGTGCATCGGTGAAAAGTATTGTACTGAATGTAAATGTGATATCAAATGTACTTCTGTCTATCTCTCAGAGCACCATGAGAAGAATTAATGCAGCACTATGCTGGATACAGGACAACATGTCTCTTTTCTGTGGACATGTCGAACTGCCCAGCGTCTTGTCCATGACAGCGGAGGACTGGGCGTTTCAAAACATCACCAGTAATGAGAGCTGTGACTCAAGAGTATGCCTCCTTTTTGTTTTCCCATTCTGTTATGGAAAAATTCTTAAAATGAGTGAGGCCAAGTTTCTTAATAATTGGAGAAGATCGATCTTGTCCAATAAAGGTATTTTATTCAAAGGAAACAGCGTTCAAAGACGCAGGTCACAGAGTAAACCCAAGTGAGTGCGCGCCAATGGAAAGGCACGTCCCCTTATACAACTTAGTATGGATAAAGGAAAGGAAAAGGCCACTGTGTTCATCAGCAACGAACAAAGATTCTGAATTTCTCCTCAGTCCTCAAGAAAGTCACATGGAGAATCTCCAAAAGGACAGGGCTATGCCTATTCTCAGGAGACAGTGAGGATGGCACAAAGGGCAAGTCATACAATTTCAATGATAAACACAGGCCTCCAATACCTTAACCAAATAGGCCAGGAGCCAGAGTGTTTGTTAAAGGGCTCTTCCATCTGGTGGAGGAAATACTCCACTGGTTCATCAGGGCCCTGTACCACACTATGAAGGGCCCGATTATCCATCCCAAATGGAAACTTGACTTTCAGGGCATCAACGAGGCTTTTAATGGCGTCTCGATAAGTTTCATTCCCGTCGCACACTGGATTTTTTTTTTCACCCGTAATGATGGACCTGGAATATCAGACAGGCCAGCTAACTTGCTGGGTTTAATCTTTGAAGACAAGATTTGACTCATCTCTCGTCCTGTGGGAAACATTTCTCTACAAATATTTAACAGTTCAGTCCCAAACTTCTCCCCTCCCTCTTTAGGGAAAGGCAAAAGTTCTGCTGCTGATTTAATATCAGAGGCAGTCCAAGGGTCGGTGGACCAAGATGGTTCCTTTGGTCCCGCAAATTCCACCATGGGCATCTGGCGAACTGCTGATTCGGATGGGGCTGAAGGGGGTAGAGCCCTGATCCCATGAGTGGGACTCCCCCTGATCGGTGCTTTCAGCCTCCTGAGACATCGGAGGTGCTGTCGGTAATGGAGGTGGAACAGCTGATGTGGCTGAAGCAGCTGGAGCGGTGCAGCCTGTGGAGGCTGTTGTTGGTTCTGAGCTCATTGGATCGGAGGGCAGGATCCAGGTCCAGATCAGTCATTTCTAGTGCTTGCACACTTGCCTGTAATGAAACATATGGTGAAAGGGGTGAGGTATCACTAGTATTATATGGAGTTGGTTGTTTTTTAACTCATACGAGAGTTATCAGCGCGTTCCTCTGTTACGCCGCTTAAATCTCTCCCTCCCCCCCCCCCCCCCATTTCTTTTACCATAGCTTTTTTCATCTCTAATCTCTGCTTCAGTTCTCTAAATTTTTAAGTATTTAACATGTTTTTCACACTTACATTCCTTTTTTTTTTTTATTTTTTTAACTTTTTTCCCCAAGACTTAATTGTTCTTCTAATTTTTGCATTTGGTTCAAACTCAAGGAGCCCTCTTTAGGAAACCTGTAACAATCAATCCACTCATTCACACATTGAAGACATTCTGTACCATTTTTCTTTAAAATGTCTTTACATATTGGGCTATCATGGGTAAAAGCTTTGCACATACTGGATCTGGACCCCATTTTTTCAGAATGTCTTCTCCTGGCTTTCCTCTCTTCAAGGCAAATAAACGCAAATATAGCCTGAACTCCCCTTTGGTGTATTTATTCCTTAAATTCCTTTATTCACCACGGACGGTGAATATTTTTGCAGAACCCTTTGTTCTGTCTTGGAAAGGTTCTTACCCATGAAGCGCAACATTGCAGGACATTTGTTTATCCGGGGGTTTTTTGTATGTTTTTTTTTTTTTTTAAGAAACAATATCTCACCCGATAAAGATGTAAAACCTCTTTGTAGATCCAGGCGGCTGCAGACGCATATGGCGAGATTCAGGTTCCTCTTTTTTTTTTAACCCCTTGTCGTGTTTAGCATTATGGCAACAGAATTGTAATCTGAGTGCCATGCTCTGCCCGACACTTTTGCTTAGCCAAGGGGAGGCCGGTCAGGGTGAGATGCCTCCCTTGATCATCCAATACTGCTTTATTATTTATTTAAGAACTTTGTTACAGAAATAAGATTGTTAATGCCAAACCTGACCAGGGGACAGGAAAAGAGAAAAAAAGAAAGAAAAAAAGAAGCAAAAGATGAAAAGGATGAGAGAATAGACAAAAGGTAACAATAACCCGCACGAAAAGATAGATCCTTAAAACTAGTAAAAAAAAAAGAAAGACGACAACACCATCAATTCAGCTGTTATATCTGTAGAAAGATGTCCTGTAGTCACCGTGGGCAAACCCTAGGGAAAACCCATTGAAGAACCTGCAAACAAACACTATGAGGAGACACACACAAACCAACAAAAAAAACAGCAAAAGATACTGTGGGCCAGCTCGAGGGAGAACCTATAGAAGCACATGCAAGCAGACACAAGGAAGAGACAAACACTAACAAGCAGCAAAAACCGAAGGCAGCCACGACACTGATAGTAATGACAAACGGGATACATTTCGAATTTTGTACGGCAACTGCACAGAAGCTCAAAAGGTGTGTGTCTGGGCAAATGAGTTAGTGGGTGTGCATAAGCACAGATGTGCAGAACACGGAGCCCAGGTTTCACACCGATTGTGCTCAGCTATGCATGCATAGGGGGGCCGCCACCGCCACCGCCCCCCCATGCCCCGGTCCCCCAGACACGGGACAGGGGCAGAAACCTGAGCCCGACAAGCCCGAGTGTCACCAAACTGCCCCAGCAGAGCCCCCAGCATCCGAGAGGGCCAGGCCCCTCTGACAGCCCCATGTAGTGGGCCAGCTCCCCCCCAGCACCGCTGACCAGCTCAGTGCCCCGGGAGCCATAGTGTGCCCGCAGGATGGCGCAGCAGCAGTTCTTTGCCCGGGGACAAAGAACCAAAATAGAAAAAAATCTCCAAGACAAGTTACATTTATTTTGTTATTAGTTATTTTGTACCTTTTTGTACTCCACCTCCGCATCCAAGTCCTGTCTGAACCCGACCACATGGAGCAAACACTGGTCCAGGTCGAATACGCGCACAACACTCTCCCCACTTCCGCCACGGCCAGAGTATCACCCCGGCCAGTGTGTACGGCTCTCCACTAAGGACCTCAACCTAAGACTGAAGTCCAAGAAATTGGCACCACGTTTCGTGGGGCCATTTGCCATTTCAAAGGTCGTTAACCCTGCGCCTTCCCTGGTCCCTGCGGATCCACCCCACCTTCCATCTCAAGCCGGTTAAGAACAGCTCCCGCGACGCCTCTTTCCCCACCTCCGGAAATTATAGACGGTGGTCCCGTCTACAAAGTGAGGTACGTAACAGGGGCTGGGGGAGGCAATTTTTGGTGGACTGAGAGGGGTATGGTCCTGAGGAGAGGGTCTGCCTTATCGTGGTGGAGGGGTTTGAGTGTCCCAGTGATTCTAGGAGCTATGTTGTCCGGGGCTTCAAGCCCCTGGTAGGGTCACTCAAGGCAACCAGGTCCTAGGTGAGGGATCAGACGAAGCGCAGCCTAAAGACCCCTCATGATGAGCACAATAAATGGATCCAGTGTTCCCTCGCCCGGACGCGGGTCACCGGGGCCCCACCCTGGAGCCAGGCCCAGAAGTGGGGCATGCTGGCGAGCGCCTGGTGGCTGATCTTTGGCCCATGGGGCCTGGCCGGGCTAAGCCCGAAGAGAAAACATGGGTCCCCCTTCCGATGGGCTCACCACCCATGGGAGGGGCTAAAGGGGTTGGGTGCGTTGTGTTCCGGGTAGCGGCCGGAGACGGGGGCCTTGGCGGACCGATCCCTGGCTGCAGAAGCTGGCTCTAGGGACGTGAAATGTCACCTGTCTGGTGGGGAAGGAGCCTGAGTTGATGTGCGAGGTCGGGAAATTCCGGCTGGACATAGTTGGTCTCGCCTCGACAGACAGCTCTGGAACCAGCCTTCTTGAGAGGGGTTGGGCGCTCTACTACTCTGGAGTTGCCCCCGGTGAGAGGCGGCAAGCAGGAGTGAGCATACTTGTTGCCCCCCATCTGCGGCTCTTAGGTCTACAAGGGCTAACCTGAACTGGGCCATCACGAGACACCAAGCGAGCCCACAGCTGGAAAATCCAAGGTCTCTTCCAAGACTCCAGAACACGAGGAAACTGTGGCAGGGCATCCAGTCTGTCACAGACTAAAAACCCACACCCTCATCCTCAATGAGCTCAACAACTTCTTCGGAAGATTTGAGGAGCTGAACTCCAACCCTGCGAGGAAAGTGACACCACAACCCGACGAACAGGCACTCAGACTAGAAACATCAGCAGTGCGGAAAGTTCTGAGGAAGGTCAACGCGTGGAAAGCTGCAGGTCCCCACAACATTCCAGGTCGGCTGATCAAAGAATGCTCGGACCAGCTGACCCACGTGCTCACGGACATCTTCAACATGTCCCTGGACCAGGCCGTCGTTCCACAGTGCTTCAAGTCTGCCACTGTCGTTCCGGTCCCAAAGACAACCACCATCACGTGCTTTAACGACTTCTGCCCCGTTGCACTCACGTCCTCCATCATGAAATGCTTCGAAATACTTGTTAAGGACACTCAAAGTCCCAAAGTGCAGACTTTAGTCTGCACCTAGTTTGTATCGAGTATCCCCCCAAATAGTCCGTGGGCCAGAATCTGTACGACGTCTCCTTAAGCAATTCCGTTTGAACTTTTAGGGGGCAACTTTCTTTCACTTGGATAAGTTGCTAGAGACTACAGTGATCTTAAAACGCCAATGTTCCCACCCTTTCACTTGCACATTAATAAGTTATAGTCGATTAAAAATATAATTTCTTCCGCTGTAATATAAGAAATCGCGAGACTTGAGATTTGCTTATCAGCCAATCAGATGGCTGAATCTCAGCGCGAGAGCTCGGTTATTTAAATATGGCAGCGCCCGTGAAATGTTTTTTGCATTTCTTTCAAGACGAAGAACGTCCAATTATTTCATTTTCTGGTGCCAGTTGGCGGCGATTTATTGAAAGTTGCAAGTCCTGGATAGACCTGGATGGCAGGAAGAAAGAAATAGCCGAGACTTTCTCTCAGTACACAGCTGAGTTGCCGGGACCCGCTGAGCTGGGGTACCATAGGAAGTGCTGCTCGAGGTACACGGACTAAAAAATTAGGAGAGCACGTAAACGTGTTGTACGCGAGCGAACCCAAAGCACTCTTTACTGTGATCATGAAGAAGCTGATACCAGACTTCCACTTCATGTAAAGCATGCTTATTTGGAATATAAAGATATTGTTATCTTGAGCCCAGACACTGATGTCATGGTCTTGGCTTTGGGTTGTGTGCATTGTTTTGAGAGTACTATCCATTTTAAGACAGGGACTGGCAACAAAACTCGTATTGTTAATATTTCTCATCTAGCAAGTCTTCATGGTCCAAGGAAAGGTCTAGCTTTTGTTGGTCTTCATGTTTTTACTGGATGTGACACGTTAAGTGCCTTTAAAGGAAAAGTTAAAGCCTTAAGGCTGATACTTGAATCAGAGCCAGCTGTTAATTGCTTTCAAATTCTTGGGAAAAATTGGGATGTTGATGATAAATTGTTCATTCAGCTTGAAGAATTTGTCTGTCACTTGTATGGACAGAAAAACTGGGTTAATGATGCCAGGTTTAAAATGTTCTCTTCTCTGTAAATCAGATAAATCTTTTCCACCAAACAAGGATTGTCTCTGACAACATTCTAAGCGAGCTGCATACCAGCTAGCAATTTATAGAAGGTGTTTGGACCAGTTTATTAACGCCCCTAACCCAGAAGGCCATGGCTGGTCCTTTGAAGATGGAGTGCTCTCCTATTGTTGGATGGTAAATCCCCCAGCTCCATCTGATGTCACCATGGACATATCTTGCAAGTGAAAGACAAATGCATGTGCTACACAAATCTGTCCATGCACTTGGATGACTCAGATGATGAGTTGTAATGCTTTTCATATATGTTGTAAGTTTTTGATGAAAATATAAAATATATAAATATGAGAGGTCTGGATTTAAATATGATATGTTTGGATTTAAATAGTATGATGTCGTGAGGAAAGGTTAAGATAGAAATAATATAACTGTAAATATGAGAGGTTCAGATTTTTTATATTGGACATAAATATGGATCCTTAGTTTTTATTGACAGTGAAAATTATATATTATTCCATTTTTTATAGCAAGGTTTACTTGTGATAGTAGTTGTTTTTCTCTCATTAAGTTAATAAATGCAATATGATGGAAAGTAAAGTGTCAGTTTTTCAATAATTAAATTAGTAAGAAATTATTTGGACCAAAAACAAGGTTTTTGCATATTAAATTATTGTCTTTTGTCTTGCTATGGCTGTATAAAGTGGAAAATATGTAGTATTCAGGTTCAGTGGCCTTCTGGCAGGGAAAATCAAAACTAAAGGTCTAAATTGCATTTCCATGTTGATTCCATCAGTATTTGCATAAAATAAACTTTTCTAATGGTCAACCTTAATGATTTTAAAGTATTTTTGGTAAAGATCTCTTGGTTAAAAACCAAAAATATGCAGATTTTCTTAGTTTTAGCCACCTATAGGCCAGATGTGGAACTACCGAAATTTTAATTGCCCGTAATTAATTAATGTGCAAGTGAAAACGCGGGAACATTGGCTTTTTGAGATCACTGAAGTCCAAAGTATCTAATTAAACTGGAAGAAAGTTGCCCCCAAAAAGTTCAAACGGAAAGTCATCGTACAGATTCTGGCCCACGGCCTAAAACAGGGATGTCAAAGTCAAACACACCGAGGGCCCAAAAAAAAATTTGCTACAAGCCGAGGGCCGGACTGGTTCAATGTTAATTAAAACATATCGAAACGATTGCACATAGACTATTGAACCAAGACCTAACACAGTGTATTCACACATATTCACAATGATTAAATGAATATGGCAATATTTTGTTATGGCTCTGTCGGTAACTTCAAGGGAAAACATTTTCAACAGCAAAAAATTTAATTGTTTTTAAAAACAAAATGTGTTTCTTAATATCAGGATAAATGCATAAATCAAAGTGCATGCATTATAAACTGAAAATGTATTATTGTGCTGCTCCATGATCTACCGATCACTGCTTTCAAATAGTACAATTTAAAAAATTAATCAAATCAGTTGTATTTTTTCTCATGGCGCTTATCTGCAATTTTACCTGAGTCCATTCAAAATAAATATAAATAAATAAAATACTGGAAACCGGTTTCCAGCTCAAATTCCAATCTGGCGGCAGGGGGAAATGTAAAGGTTGTGGGTGGGAAGTCTAGCTCCCAGAATAAATAGGCCCTACAGATCGAGTTATTGAGATTTCAAGCTTGGCTTGGCGTACAAGCTTGGCTGCAACAGACGAGCATGTGTTGTACAAGCCGTGCACAGGGACCAAAGAGAGTCCACCAAAGTTAATTCTGCTACTTGCAAATGAACTTCGTAACATTTTTATGCAAGAAAAGGCAATAAAGGAAGAACACATGAAACAGCATTGTGAGATGAAGAGACTAGGGCTGTTCCTTGTGTGACAAATGTTACTCCAATACTAAAGGCATACCGTTTGTCATTCTCTAAGATTAAATTTTGAATGACATAAAAACGGCAAGACAAGACAAAATACAATTATTCTTTCTTTCATATAGTGGGCTTTGCAATATGAATGAGTCTGTTGGTGAATGGACAATAGAAATAGGCTCTGCCTTGCCTTGTTGGAAAAGCATGGTTATGACCTTTTCTCAGCTCAGGAACTAGGACCCGTATGATATCTGGTTGTTCAATAGGTTTGCCTAAATAAAAGATTCAGATATGACTTATAAATATATTCCTGCAAAAAGGTATGATGTTGCAGGGCCAGATACTGAAAAGTGCTTGGAACATGGTCTTGATGCCAGTTTGTTTCAGCCTTGATCCAGTCTCATGTAGAAGGGCTGGTCATATCAGAGGTTATTTGCATTACAATAGGGACAGTTAGCAAGGCAGAGTGAATACACAAACTTGCAGAGGGGAGGGGGGCTTGCAGGAAAACTGAAAATCTCTGGGACTTCTAGTGTTAACACAGGGTAACCTCACCCACGAACTCCCAAAATATAGACAGTTTATAAAATGTCCGACCAGAGAGGAGAATATTCTGGATCACCGTTACACCACTATCAGCAACACTTATCACGCCGTCCCCCGCGCTGCACTGGGCCACTCTGACCACATCATGGTCCATCTGATTCCTGCATCCAGACAGAAACTCAAACTCTGTAAGCCGAATGTGAGGACATCAAAGCAGTGGAGCCCTGAGGCTGTGGAGGATCTTCAAGCGTGTTTGGAGACTACTGACTGGGATGTTTTCAGGACTGCCACCACCACTCTGGATGAGTACACAGAGACTGTGACTTCATATATCAGTTTCTGTGAGGACTGCTGCATACCATCACGCACCAGGGTGAGCTACAACAACGACAAACCCTGGTTCAGTCCTAAACTCAGACAGCTGAGGCTGCAGGAAGAAAAGGCATTTAGGAGCGGGGACAGGGACAAGGAGTCAAAGTACAGGTTTAGTGAGGCGGTGAGGGACGCTAAACGGCTGTACGCTGAGAATCTCAAACAACAGTTCCCAGCCAACGACTCTGCGTCTGTCTGGAGGGGCTCAGATAGATCACCAACTACAAACCTAAACCCCCCCCACTCTGTCAACGACCTGCGTCTGGCAAACAAGCTGAATGACTTCTACTGCAGATTCGAAAGACAATGGGACAGTCCTAACACCAACACCATCCCCCACTACCACCAGCCCCTGCCCACCAGCATCCCCACCCCCACCTCAGAAGGGGCCTGCCCCCCCCACAACTGCCAAAATCAAAGGACCCCCGTCCCTCAACTGCCATGACTCTCTCCATCAAGGAGAGGGACGTATCCAGCCTATTCAAGAAACAAAAACCACGCAAAGCAGCTGGACCCAACCATCTCTTCTAGCATCCTGAAGCACTGCACAGCCCAGCTGTCTCATGTGTTCACTGACATCTTCAACACCTAACTGCAGACATGCCATGTACCTGCCTGCTTGAAAACCTCCACGATCATCCCGTCCCCCCCAAAAAACAAGGATTTCAGGCCTCAATGACTACAGACCTGTTGCCCTGACCTCCGTGGTGATGAAGGTATTTGAACGCCTTTTCCTTGCCCACTTGAAAGCTATCTCAGACTCACACCTGGACCCACTGCAGTTTGCCTACAGAGCCAACAGGTATGTAGATGACGCCGTCAACCTGGCTCTCCACTTCATCCTCCAGCACCTTGACTCCCCAGCCACCTATGCCAGGATCCTGTTTGTGGATTTTAGCTCTGCCTTCAACACCATCATCCCCCCTCTACTCCAGGACAAACTCTCCCAGGTGGGTGTGCCTGATCCCACCTGCAGATGGATCACTGATTTCCTATCTGACAGGAGGCAGCATGTGAGGCTCGGAAGCCGCTGGACCATCAGCACTGGATCCCCCCAGGGCTGTGTTCCCTCCCCCCTACTCTTCTCCCTGTACACCAACAGCTGCACCTCCAGCTCAGTCAAGCTCCTAAAGTTAGCGGATGATACGACCCTCATCGGACACATCTCACATGGGGATGAGTCTGCCAACAGGTGGGAGATCGACCGTCTGGTGTCCTGGTGTGCAGTCAACAACCTGGAGCTCAACGCGCTCAAGACAGCGGAGATGGTTGTGGACTTTATAAAGAACACAGCCCCACCTGCTCCCATCACTCTGTGTGGCTCCATAATTGCTTCTGTGGAGTCCTTCTGTTTCCTGGCGATCACTATAACCCAGGACCTCAAGTGGGAGCTGAACATCAGCTCCCTCACAAAGAAAGCACAGCAGAGGATGTTCTTCCTGCGGCAGCTGAAGAAGTTCAACCTGCCCAAGTCAATGATGGTGCACTTCTACACTGCCATCATTGAGTCCATCCTCACCTCCTCCATCTGGTACGCTGCTGCCACTGCTAAGGACAAGGGCAGACTGCAGCATATCATTCACTCAGCCGAGAAGGTGATTGGCTGCGATCTGCCATCTCTCCAGGACCTGTACGCCTCCAGGACTTTAAGGCGTGCAGGAAAGATCATGTCTGATCCTTTCACCCTGGTCACAAACTTTTTGAAACTCTCCTCTCTGGCAGAAGGTTGACGACCATCAGGACCAAAACCTTACGCCATAAAGACAGTTTCTATCCAGCAGCAACTGGCCTCATCAACAAGTCCAGCGACCCTCACCTATTTTTCTCCCACCCCCCTCTATCTCACCAATCTACACAATGCTACTGTCAACATTTTCTGGTCTGTTACACATTCAACATTGCACATTTCAATTGTTCATTTGTACATTCACACCTGTATAAATACTTTTGATATTTGTAATTCAATATTGTATTGTAGTCTTATATCCATATTTCTATTCTCAGATCTATATTTTTAAAGATTGTACTTTCTAGTTCAATATTTTCTGTTCTGTATTTTTATTTCTACATTGTATTTCCTTGCTTCTCATAGAAGTGTTGTGCACCAAACACCAAGGCAAATTCCTTGTAAGTCAAAAACCTATTTGGCAATAAACCTGATTCTGAAGTAGATCCTTCTGATGAGATCCAGATGTACATACGAGACTTGGTATCAAACATGAGAGCTGGTTACTCACTGCAGCCAATTTTGGATAGGGACAACATCCATTTCCTCCCTGAAATTGTTCCACAAATAAGACTTGCAAGTTACTTACCACTTTGGACAGGAGTAAGCCTCACAGCAAGCTCAGCCAATGTTGAAGCAGAATTCTTTCATTATTTTTTACGTTGTCCTGCTCAGCATTATGGCAGCAGAACTGAATTCTGACTACTGTGTTATGCTGAAAACATTTGATTTGCCAAGGGTCGCTTAAATGGGTGAATAAAAAAATAAATAAACTAAAAAAACCTTGATTATCCAACACTGCTTTATCCATTTTTGTTGCAAAACTTTATAAGTAGCCAAAAATATCTGACAGCACAGGGAAGAAGAGCAAAGAAAACCAAACCCGAAAAGGAGAAAGATCCTTTGGACAGCGAGAGAAGTAGAAAAAAAAATCCATACAACCGGCTGCTGTATCTGTAAAAAAGAAAAAAACATCCAGTGGTTTCTTACGGGCAATCCAGAGATTGTGTTCTACACCCAGTCCACCAGCAGCCACCCCGGAGCGCAGATCCCAGAAAGACGACCACAGAGAAAACTGGGCAACCAGGGAAGCCCCCTAGAAGAGCCTCCCATGACCAAGAACCATGAGTGACAGCACACCAGCCCCCACCATGCCCCGCCCCAAGACATAGGCTGAGAACCGGAACTCAAGCCCCTGCGAGCCCAAGTGCCAAAAACTCCCCTTGGCAGAAGCCCTGTCCCAGCATCCGAAGGGGCCAGGCACCCCAGACAGCCAGATGCAGCAGACCCAGGACCAACAGAGCCCCAGAAGCCAGGCAGCTCGCAGGCAGCAGGGGTGAAAGGAGACCACGCCCCCCCCCCCCCCCTCGCCCCTCCAGGTCCCTGATGGGTGTGAGTTGAGGACAACTCTGTTCCTGATGGGCAGAGGTCCTCCATGTCTACTAAGCATTTAAAACAGCGGGGTGGGCGGCCTTTTAAAGTCCAGAGCGAGGTCCCTCAAGCAGTCCCCACCACCTGAGGGGCCACGCTCACCCGACCCCACTCAGCACACCCACCCCCCTGGACCTAATGTGTGTATCTGTGTGGGTAAATGGGTAGTAGTGTCTAAAGTGCTGATAAAACCGGGGGGATGAAGGCGCCTGGGGGCACAGAGAAGAAGACCACCTAGATGGTATCCTTAGCTGTACCCCACAGATCCCTCATGGCCCCCCAAACCCTACATGAGTGTGTGTGATCTGTGTTCTGGAGCCAGAGGGGAGAGGGGTAGGGGGGTGCGAGCCGGGAGGGACATAACCCTTCCGGAAATGGCAGTCATGCTATATGGCGCCCCTGCTGCCCAGGATCCACCACACGCCAGGGGGACCCAACAGCCCCCCGCAGCCACAGGGGGATCCTCCAACCCCTGTAGGGAAAGCCACCCGCCACCCCCCGCAAGGCCCTCCCAGAAAGATTTATTCAAAAATAAGTAATTGGGGAAGGAAAAAGAAAAAAGGGTGGGCACACACGCATCGCACACACACCGTGCAGCCATCTCGTTCACAAGGGCATGGCCCTGGGCCAACCATCCCCCTGGACACTCAAATTATTCTTCGTCTTCAAAACTCTGCTTAACCCTCCTCCTCCGCCACCTGCTACTAGCTTAACAGCAGACACGTTCGCCTAATTTCTTACTGACAATGTGGCAGCTATAAGCAAATAGTCTACTGAACGGCCTGCACCTGAAACTTCTCACAGTACATATACAAGCTTCTGCTTGTATAAGCAGTAGGACTTCTGTCCTACTGCTTTGTTCTCCTCCTTCGCTCCTCTCACTGAGAGCAATGTGTCCAAACTTCTCACATGTAGCCGTCCTACTACATGCTTGCTGGACCCAGTTCCTACAAACTTTCTCCAGTCCATAGCTCCTACAGTTACTGCAGCAGTCACACATGTGATCAATGCTTTGCTGACGTCAGGCACATTTCCTAGCTCATACAAGCAAGCTTTGGTCACACCGCTGCTAAAAAAAAAACAAATAAATAAAAATAAAAAATAAAAAACCCTCTCTCCCACCAACTCGGTTGGAAAACCATTGGCCGGTTTCTCTACTTCCATTTCTGTCAAAGACCATTAAAAGGGTCGTCTTTAAGCAGGTCACAGACTACCTTTCACAAAACAATCTCCTTGATAAAAATCAATCTGGGTTTAAAAGTGGCCACTCCACTGAAACGGCTCTGTTGTCTGTGACAGAAGCCTAAAAAGAGGCAAAAGCAACTTCCAAGTCCTCAGTACTAATCCTTCTTGACTTATCAGCTGCATTTGACACTACCAAATCCCTTTCTGATATTACACGGCTCGAAAAATTCCATAACCATCACCAAAAAGCAAATTGTGTAATTTCTGGGCACTACTTATTGCAGAAATTTCATTCCAACTACTTTTTGTTGGAGAGTCCCCTCTCATCACTCATTCATGGCAAGGGCCTAGCTGCCCTGCATCCTTTTTCCAGGACTGTTGAGGCTGAGAAGGCATTTGTGCAGCTCAAACGGTCTCTTTCTCAAGCTCTGGCTTAACCCATAACTCAGCCAGAGAATCCTTTTGTTCAAATGAATTTATGAAAAGTAGGGCTTCTGTTCTTCTGCAGCATCATGGTGATCTTTCACATCCAATAGTCCATTTTTCATTTAAACTTGACCTGCCTTGTCTGCCTTCATGCTGTCGCTGCAGCTGAAAAAGCCATTTTGACCTCCAGAGACATTGTTGGCTATTCTCCCCTTACTGTCTTTGTTCCCCATGCTGTGTCTATCATTCTTTTGGAGCAGAAAATGTCCCACCTCTCTGCTGCTAGGTAGCTTAGTTACAGCACGGTGCTTCTGGACATGCCGAATGTCACAGTTAAACGCTGCACGACTCTGAATCCAGCTACTCTTCTCCCCACAGCTAAGGATGACGACCCTCATGACTGTTCTGTTACCTTGCAAACAGTTTGTACTCCTAGGCCTGATCTTCCTGATTTTCCTCTCACCAACACTGATCTAACACTGGCCCAGCAGAAGAGCTCTTCTCACCCAGATGCACCACAGAGGAAATCATTTGTGCCCATTTGTTTTCCCCCGCTCCAGAGAGAACCAAAAAATTTGCTGGATTTGTTAAAGATACCTCAAACTTTAACCGCCCTGTTGAATTGTTCTTGTAAGTAATCAACAATTAAGCCTCTCCATGCAGGAAAAGGAGATTTC